AGTCATCCTCCCCTTGTATTATATTCACGGTCTTGGGATAATTCAATTTGAACTGTTCTTCGTCTAAATATATGCGTCAATAAACTTTTCGAATAGTCACAATGATTATTGGGGTTCTATATTATTGGGATTGGTGGAGCCAAATCAACATTGGAACGAGTTATAGACGAAGATGAATTAAGCTTGATGTTTTGTTAAGGATCTCACATTGATAATATAAGAGAGATGTAATAAAAGTTTATAATATACATGGACTACTCATATCATAACCAAGGTTTTAAATGTCCATGTCAATGAAAATGTCGAGATCTCAATTTCATGGTAATATCGATAAAATGTCGATGTCGATGGATATTTCTATAAAAGTTATAGAAATTGAAAAATTCTACAAAATATTTAAATTAACAAATAAACATTTTCATGTTGCTAAATGAGTTAAAAAAATAATTTATTAATATTATTTATATATTGGTAACATTTTGTCGATATTTTTCATATTTTGTCGATTTTTTTATACTATAATGAAAATGTCGATTTATCCCTCATGTCGATGTCGAACCCATGAAAATATGAACATATCGATGGAAATATCGACACGTCAACGGATATTCGGATATTTAGAACCATGCTCATAACCTATTAGTTGATATTTTATTTTTGTCAATTATAATGGTTTGTTGTCTTATCAATCAAATAAAAGGGATTAATTATTTCTAAAGGAAGAACCAATTCTTCCAACATATAATTATATATTTTTTGTAACTTCTCTCTCGTACAAGGACCTAAAACTACCTTCCATCATTGTTCTAGCCTCCTCTAATAATTTCTCGAAAATACCTCGTGAAACTAGAGATATTTTTCATTCAACTTTTTCTCACCACATGACTTCCTCAACTTGTGTTTGCAACTGTTCATTCTTCATAATCCATAGTCTTAATCTTCTGTGGCGAGCTCTATCTCCAAATTTGTGGCATGCATGAGCTAAATATAAACATTTCAATACAAATTTAGAACAACTTTTAACATTTATTTGTCCCTATTTAAAAATACATAGATACAAACATAATTCCATTAATTCTCATAAGCTAGCACATAATTAACCATTTAATTAAAACCACCAAGAAATCACTAAAACACAAAATGATTCTCACAATAGTTATCAAACCCTAATCCCCAATTTAATTAAACAATCAAAATAATCATCAAATACTTCCACTCCCCAAAGTATAAGAACAGTTTTTATTAGAGATATACTTACATTTTTGCAGTTTAATTGTCGTTATTTTACTTTGGTAGTTAGGTGTGGGCGGTAGTTATGTAAAGAGTCTTTATTGTACTGTCTTGGAGCTGAGTTAATTTTTTTTTAGATCTCACTTTTATTAACACCCTTCATCCAATTTTTGGTTTAAAAAAAATTAAATAAAAAACTAAGAATGGGTGCCAAAAAAATAATAATTATTAAGAATAAATCGAAAGAAAGGTGGAGAAATGTAAAACGAGGAAAAGAAATGAAAAGACACAAAGTAAAGATACAGGATAAGGAGAATAAAAAGAAGCAAGAGGAGGGAAAAGAGAGATGAACCTGAGAGGGAGAAGGAGAAGAGAAGGCCGAGGAAAAGTTGCTAGAAAATCACGATTAATAACGAAAATGGATCGAGTGGGTTTATAGACAAAGATTTCTAGTTCGGTAAGTCGATTTCAACTTCGATAAGCATTTTTTGCGAAAAATATAATGAGTTTTCTTCGATTTTGTATATTTTGCTTGGATTAATGGAAGACATAAAGGCTATATATAGGAAAGAAATATTTTCATGGAGATCGTAAAGGAAGAAGAAAGTGAATAGTAGAATCGGTGAGAGTAAAATTGTTTTACTATGGGAGTCAATGGATTACTGAATCCTAAGGAAAGTCATTTGTGTTTATTAAATTGATAATTACTATCAGACGTCAAGAAATGTCAAGCGAAATATACTTGTGTATGAAGTTCATTTACAAATTTAAGTATTTGCAAAATTGAAGTGACTAGTGATTGTTAGGCGTTAGATTTGGTTGAGTCGAGAATTACAATCAGTTTCAATGATTGACGACTATGATATGATATTTCTAAGTTATGATTTTTAGTTAATATGACTCGTGAATTTAGATATGTTTTATGATTTTTAAACTATGGTTTTTAGTGATAGAGGAGTTTCACCCATTGTTCTATTGGAATGATGGTTATTTGTGATTTTAAGTGACACAATGGAAAATTGAATCATGATATGGTTACGAGACACCGATTTATAATGATTATAATTTATCATAGTTTGAGAAGCATTAAAGTTATTATAGAAATTATTTTCAAAAACACTAGATCTTATGTCCATGGTGACTTCCCAATACACATACATGAATGTGTTTCTATAGTGTATGTACGACCAGCTGCGCTCTATTATATATCTTGAGTTTATTCGATGTGTAGTACGACCAAATAGTCCTGCTATGTGTCTCTTGAGGTTAATCGATAAGTAGTAAGACTATGATTGCTCTACTATGTGTCTTGAGCTTGCTCGATATGTAGTATGACCAGATTTGCTCTGCTATCTTGAGGTTACCTCGATATATAGTAAGACCAATTTTGCTTTATTATGCATCTTAAGATTACTTGATGTATAGTGCGACCAGATGTTCTGTTATATAGAAGAGTTTAATCTATACGTAGTATGACTAATTTGCTCTGCTATATGTATTGAGATTCTCCGTATATAGTATGACCAGTCTGCTCAAATGTCCGTATTGAATTTGCTCTGTGCCAGTATAATCAGTTTCGATTATGGATTTAATGATGAGTTTTACTAGTCATGACTATATTTTAAAGGTGACGTTCAAAAAGATCTATTACCGCTAAGTATTTCAAGTGATTTATTTCTCTATGCATTCATGACAATCTCACCAGCAATAGTTTATTGTTGATTATGTTAAAAGATTCCTCAACATTATTTCCTTATAAATTGTTTCCACTCACTAAGCTTGTTAGCTCACTCTTCCATCCTTAATTTTTCTTCTAGGTAGCAATTGAGAGTGTGTCTCGAGTGCCATTGTCAAAATCACTTTCCTTTCCATGGATCATATTTGGTAAATTAGAAAATTGATTTTAGGAAAACTTAAAATCACTTTAAATTGATTTTTAGGTATCATTCCTCCAACGATGATTTTAGAAAATCAATTATACTTGAATCTCTTTTTTCAAAATCATTAATTCTACCATCACTCTCAAACACATCCTGAGTCTCCAACGCGAGCCTACTGGGATCGAGATTTGCCACCAATCTCATCTAGATTACATATTAGTTTGCATGAAAATGTTGTAGTCTCGTTTTATTTTGAAATTAGTGTGGCTAGCATTTTTATTCCATGGTGTCGCATTGCGCTAGCCATTTATTGTAGGTTTGATTATTAAACCGAGGCGAAAATGTGTTGATGGAATCGAATTGATTTGATTTTAATTTATGAAGTGAGTCTTGAATAGTGTGGAAAGAGACACTTGGTTGTAGTATGATGATATCTTATATTATGAAGCGTAAACAATTCTTTCGCAATTGTGTTTCCTCATATTTTAGAGGAATCTTTGCCAAAATTTTCATGATTTTATTCGGTCAAATTTTCTAGCTAAGATTTGATTTTCAAAATATTGGATCAGTTCATGTTAGTTTGACAATAGATCCATAGCTAGTTGGAATCCATTGTCGCTATGTCACATCATAGGTTGGGCTGGGTAATCTTAGTCGAGTCGTGTCAACTTCACATTAGGCAATATGGTATCAGAGGAAGCTTTTGCTTGATGCATTTTTTGTTCTCTCGATCGATTTTCTTTTGGCATCGATTAGAGTGAGAATGTTTGTTTGATCGTAAATGATCAAGCTCAGAAATCGCAAGTTTGGACTGATTGCACCAAAATATTTGGATCTGCAAAACAAAATTAGCACTCTGAAACACATGTCAGTACAAGTCTGATCTATATTCGAGAGAGAGAATATATTTCGTGTATCTTATATAAAAGGTGGGACACTCTATTTATAAAGGCAAGCTCTCAATAGAGCTTCCAACAACCTAAAATTGAGTTGTCTTATCAGGAAATAGGTCTATCATCTATACTCCTTTGGTTACTCTTTAACATCAACTCGTAACTAACGAAAGTTGGTCCAAATGTAGAAATGTGGTAGCTCGAACACAGAATGTCGAGCTGAGGAGATTTGACTTGTCTTATTTTTGTAGATAATTACCTCCCAAGGTAGACACGTGGCGGCTTATAAATAGCCTCCAACGACGTTTTGCTTCCAAAAACTTCTTTCAAGAAATTGTTAAATCTATGGCGCAACAAGAAAACGTTACGCCAAATATGATGATTCCAAATACTGGAGCGGTGGCTCCACATATAGAAAAATAAAATTTAAAAAAATATATAAATAATAAATAATCACATATGAGAGAATTTACCATTAAATTTAGAGAGAAAATGACACAAAGTAGAATAACTTTGCTTCCAAATATGTGGCGGAAAGAAAAAATTATATATCATAATTATAATAATAATTTTAAATAATTGAGGTAGTACGGATACTTTCATACTACGAAAAGACTAGATATTTTCTCGGACTAATGCGAGCCAAGTATTTTTAGTCTTTTTTTTTTAAACAATGACCCTGCATTATTTCAAAATGATGGTGACGTGGTTGAGAAAGAGTATCATATTTTGAAAATTTCCACTCTTCCTCTATATATGTAGTCTCCGCTCTCATTTGTTACAAATTAATAAATCAAAGGAAATCCGAGATAAATATTTTCGAAAGTCGCATTTATAGATATTCGATCTTTTTTTCTTTTGTGTAAATACAATTAAAAAAATACATTAGTTTACCATTTAACCCAACGGACAGAAACACGTGTTGATTTTTTTAATCACAAATATGAACTCACCAAAATCTGAACAAAAACAGACGAAGACCAATACCCCACTGCACTGCTTGCTTCACAAATCCATTCTTCAAAAAAGAGAGCGCCAGAAAATGCTGTCGTCAGAATCCGGGAAGCTCCGGGAGCCGCTGGGGTCGGCGCCGGAGAGGGTGACGGTGGACGAAATGCTGCAGAAATATTGCGGGGAGTTCGGGCGGTGGCAAATAAATCAGTTTCTTCTGATCAGTCTGTGTTGGATCGTCGACGCCTTCCACACAATGGTCATCATCTTTGCCGACTGCGTGCCGGACCGCCGCTGCATCACCGGTTGCGCCGCCGCCGGAAATAATGATGTGTGTGGGCTTCCTCCCGGATCGTGGGAGTGGGTCGGCGGCGCCGGCAGCTCCACGGTTTCGGAGTGGGGATTGATTTGCGGTGAGAAGTACAAAGTTGGGCTCTCCCAAGCCATGTTCTTCGTCGGCGGCATGATCGGTTAGTTCTCAGATTTAAATCTCATTCTTTTGTTTTCGTCATTGACTTCCAAACTTTTCGATTGGGTCACTATATAATAAGCTTATATCTTGGTCCAATTCCATTTTTTTTAATGTTAGTTTGAGGGGCTCTAATACTATATTATAAACTTTTATTACCTAGCTTATCTGTTTTTTTTTTTTTAAGAATTTTATTAGGTAGCTTATCATTTCAATAACTTGAATAAGTCACGGGATGATGTAGTAACTAGAGATACTAAGTAGAAAAAGAATAACATTGACTAAAATATTAATTTTTACTTGTAAAGTTTGAGGGATCAAAATAAATTAGGAATTAATTCTTACGTGTGTTCCAGTACTAAATATTGTACGGTCAGATGGTTGTCCAATAACATTAGTTAAGTTACATGTAAACAGGTTCGAATAATACTCATGGATAAAAAAAATTAACTTTCTATAGTTCACATATTAATTAAGATAGATATCTTAAAATGGTTACTAAAATAAATATTTTGAAAGTGTAAATACCATATTTTAAGAGCGGTGTGGTAGACAAAATAAGATATAAAAGTTATATATTACAAAGAGCTTACGCTATAAAATTTTGTTCACTTGTCTTGTGCCAATTCTATTATTTTTTTTTCTTTGTTTAGGAGACGCCATATTTGGGCCACTCTCAGACTCTACCTTTGGGAGAAAACGTTCCCTTGCTGTAGTTTGTACATTCAATGCTATTTTTGGGTGCTTAACTGCATTCTCTCAGTCGTACTGGACCTACGCCTTCCTCCGGTTCCTCACTGGCGTCACTACCAGCGGCAACGGCCTTTGCGCCTTCGTTCTCACCACCGAACCCATCGGCCCTTCCAAACGTGGCACTGTCGGAATGTCCTCCTTCTACTTCTCCTCCGTTGGTATCGCCATTCTCGCTGCAATAGCTTACTTCTTCCAATCATGGCGTACACTTTACATTGTCTCCTCAATTCCCTCCTTCTTCGTCCTCCTCGTCCTCCCTTTCATCTCGGAGTCCCCGAGGTAATATTGGTGATTGTATTAGTGACTGTATTTAGATGGTTAAAATCACTTTTGTCATTGTCAAAATCACTCATCTCCCCCATAGATCATATTTGACCATTGATTTTTAAGTTATCTCTTAGACTGTGATTTTGAAAAATCAATTATACTTAAATCTCTCTTTTTAAAATCACTAATCCTATCATTACTCTAAAACACAACACTTTGATTATCTAATTAAGTACTGTCAATCAACATCTATATTACTATCAACCGCCACCAATCATTGACATCTCTAAAAATAGAAAAAATATCTCATTTCCTGCCTTTCTCTATCAATTTTCCATTTCCTAAACTCACAGGTGGTATCTAGTACATGGAAAGGTGGACAAAGCCATGAGCGTGATGACATCAATTGCTGAATCGAATGGAAAACGTATTCCAGATGGAGTGATGCTGGCGCTCGACATGGAAGGAAACGACGATGTTTTGCAGCAAGCGATCAGGAAGAAGGAAACTACGACGTTAAGTAACCTAATCGATGTGATGATCCACTCGCCTGTAGCGCGTGGGCGTCTGTTTCTTGCATCTGGCATGAGCTTCATGTGTGCCATCATGTACTACGGCCTAAGCTTGAATGTTGTCAACTTAAGGACAAATCTCTACCTCACTGTTGTCCTCAATGCCATTGCCGAGGTACAGCACAGTATCGATTTGTAGTTATATATTTGTTAGTTCTATGGTTTTTATTACTTTCATATTTCTTTTACCTCATATTAAGTAGACATAAATATGGATTAATATGTTTTATTGTCATATTTTGTTCATTCATTTATTTATTCTTTTCACGGATTTTAGTAAAGTATTCAAGCTTTCGATTTTATGGACTAGATTCATATAACTTTCAAAAAGTCCACATGACTTTAGAAGATTTGAACTTTCGAAAGTATAATAATTAGATAGACACAATCTTCGAGAGTGACACTTATAATTTAAAATTATTATAGTTTAGTAATTAATATTAACATGCTTAATTATATGAATTTATACCCCTTAGATACCAGCAGCGTTGCTTAACATTTTGGGAAGAAAAGGGGTGGGGATATTGACGTTTTGGTTCAGCGGTTTTTTCTGCTTGGTTGGAAGCTTGATGAGTAGTGATGGCGGTTGGAAAACGACAAAGACGATTTGTGGGATATTGGGAATGTTTGGCATGGCTGGAAACTACAGTCTACTATATTTGTATTGTGCAGAATTGTTTCCGACTGAGGTACTATTAAATCATCGCATAACTCAAAAGTTTATATTAGTAGATGTGTAGAAAACCTTCTAACTCTAAAAAAAACTATGTCTTTCGATTATATTTTTAATAGGTACGAAATACGATGGTGGGGATGACGATGCAGGCAATTGAAGTGGGAGCCATTGTAGCACCATTTTTGGTGCTTTTGGGGGAGAGCTTGCCGCTAATGGCGTTTGCCGTTTGTGGGATCGCCGGTGGAGTGATCGTAATTTTCACACCGGAGACGTTGAATAAGCCTTTATATGATACAATCCTCGGAATGGAGCGAGGAGAAGCTTGAGATGATTATATATGATGGTATGTAATTTATATTTTGTTTTCCATTTTTTTTTTGTCTTTCAAAGATTGGAATTGTTTCTTAACTATTTAAAATAGACGAGTGATAGATAGGTAAGTTAAAAAAGAAATTGAATTGAGTTATGTTCTAGTTAATCATGTAATCCCGGTTTCAATTTGAACTAAAAAAAATTAAAACATGGTTCCAATTTACATATGACTTAGTTTGGTTAAATTTCTTTAAAATGTGCTTCACCTTGCTAAATGTTAATAGTTTTTGTTTTTAAATGTAGTCGAGAGTGTTAATGAACCGACATTCCATATAAAAAGTTAATGAAGAATTTTTTCTTTTGACGAAAAAATGACTAAATCTATGAAGTTTGGACTCAACTCCGATGAACTACTGGACACGGAGAAAAAGACTCTGATTCTCAAGTCAGTTTTCATCTGATCTATACTCAGTATGAGGATAGTGTTGGGATTATGGAGCTAAAACGATGTCTGAATGGATCGGGACAAAGCAAGGATGAAAGAGGATCAAAGAAGCGGACTATAGGGCCATTTTGGCTGAGTAGGCGGTAATGAGGTGCTACAACATAGCATCGTAGCGCTACACAGCGTCGCGGCGCTTTCGCGATGTATAAAAGAGTCCAAGTTTTTTAAGTGTAGGAGTTATTGGGCAGCGCCGTTTTCAAGAGATAGAGGAGAACAAGTCTTTTGAGTTGTGGAGCATTGTTGGCAACTTATTCTTGTGGCTCAGTAAGGTGTTTTCATTCTCGTATTCCTAATAAGTAGATATGGGCAGTGGCGGATCCAAGAATCTATGTCAGGGGAGGCACAAATGCATAAATATAACATAATCGAAAAATATTAAATTTATACTAGAATTTGGCGATGTTTATCAATTGCACCTTACAATTGGATAATGTAGTAATTTTCACCTTGAATTTAAAAATATGTCACAATTTACCATTCGACAAATTGTCATTTGAAATTTTGTTGAAAAAAATAATCTTATGTACGTCAAATGAATAAGAAAACACAAGTTTTGTTTGAAGATAATTGATAGGATTTAGACAAAATCGACATTAAAGTTGTTCTAAATTCGTAAATTTTGGCAGAGTTATTTAACCGCGGAGTTATACATTAATCAAAGTTAATTTGAGAATCTTGATTATTAAATTAATAACTTTCTGTTACTTTTTAAATTAATGAGACAAATTAAAATAAACTTAACAAAAAGATAAAGTTTATAACATTTATCTAATTTATGATTTTGAACTTAAATTTATTAAAAGAAATACCTTCTACTAAATAAATTTAACTCGATATATTTAATAAAAAAATTTAATTACTTTCTTATATTAAAAGAATTAAAAATATTTTGTGAAAAGAGATATTTAAAAGAATGGGACATTTGAATAAAAAAAAATTTTTTTAAGAAGTTAACATATTTTGGTAAAAAAAATAATAATAATAACAAGTAAAACATAGGGAGGTGAGATTCCAAAAGGCATATTTTTTAAGGAAAAGAAATGGGGCAGTTTAAAGATATTTTGTCAGTAAACTAAAAAAAATAAAAAAACAAACAAACAAAACGAAAAAAAGAAAGTAAAAACGTAAGTTCGGGGTCTAATTTGGGACGGAAGTATGGGGGCACCAGTGAACTAGGACTTAGCTATTTTTCTGTGTGCACAGTCGAGGGTATTATTTTCCCAAGAGATAGTTTCGTATACCTGAGTAATGAGACGAGACTCTCTATTTTATAGAGTTTAGGTTTTCAACAATAGTTGAGTAGCGGTTATACGACCGTCCCGTGATTCACGATATATTGTCAGGACAACGATTTTAGGTTTGCGACAAATAACATAATGATTCTCGATTTGTCCTTTATAAAGGTGAGTTATTGATATCTTCATTGGTCAACTTAAGCCTTTAATAAGTTCCAGATGACTAACGTTATTAGCATCAACTCGGCTTTTACGAAGTTTTGTACTGTTTATTCAACCTTCAAAAAAAATAGTTTGGTTGTCTTCGTACTAGGTCATTATGATGACTTAACAATTTTTATCATATACAATATTGACACGTGGTGTCTAAGAAATCACCTCCAATGTAAAATCAAGATTATTTTCAAGTGGAAGAGAATATAAGCCGTGAAACTTGATAAGATCTTTTTTTTTTTATGTTAATAATTAGACCCACCACTTTTATAAATGACTCTTTAGGTAAAAGCCTACTGCGATCTAAAAACCATCATGGGATGGCTCAAGTGGTCAATGAGGACCTTTCTAAATAGTAAATGATTTAGAGGGAATGAGTTCAAACCATGGTGATCACCTGTTCTATTCCTACGAGTTACCTTGTCAACGGAGTTCATACCTTAGAGACTTGGTAAAACTAAAATATTAAATAATTGATAAATGAGATTATTCAGAATACGCATGGATTGTTAAGATTGCACATTAAATTTTTGGTATAGATCTATAATAAAAAAAAAGATTTGTGATCGTTGCCAAAGAAATGAAATAAAAGATACATAGAATTAGGATAATTATTATAAAAGGTCTACCTTATGAATAATAATGAATAATAATAAAAGAATAAAAAAAGTAGTTGAAATTGAAAGAGAAGCAATTAATGGGGTGTGGAAAAGGAAGAATGGAGAAGTAAATTGGGTTCGGATAGAGTGACAATGCTGTCGTGTCAAAATCTGCACCCACACCCAATACGACGAATTGTACGACAGGTGGCAACCACCGTTTTTCTCTTTCTTTTTCTTTTTCTTCTATAGTTCTAAATTTTAAAAGTTATTTAATAAATTTATAAACTTTTCAATATTTTCAAAATTTTAAAAAATATCTAAAAGATCTCTTAATAAATAAATAAAGTTCAAATAGAATTATTATTCACCTGCTACTAAGTAAAGGCAAAGAATTAATGGATTCTAGATTATATCAATCGAGGGTTCAGGAAGAATTTCTACGAAGTTTGAACTCACTAGAGTTGTGGCCGATGCAATCTATAAGTCCAATCCATTGTTAAATTAATCTATTAAATCTTGAATTTTCCTTATAACATAGTATAATTAGCCGTACATAGAGAGCTTCATTCGTGGAATTCAAATATTCATAACAAAAAATATTGGGTTCTAATTAATTTAGTCATACTTAGAATAAAGTTTTCCAAAGACTTGTTAGACCATGTCGCTAGAACCTCTCCTTTTTAACTCTTATAACAAATGTGAAAAAATTAAGTAAAAAAAACAAATGTGAAAAGATCACAATAACATAATGTATCAATAATTATTATTGTGGGTAGAAAAGTTTAGTGGTTTAAAAAATAATTCATAATAATTATTGTGTGATCAAAATCTTTTAGTGGTTCAAAAATAATTATTAATAATTATTGTGGGTGCAAAAGGTTTAGTGGTTTAAAAATAATTCCTGACAAAATTTATCCACACCACTAAAAAGAATTATAAAAATTTGGCCAATTTATTTATTTTTATATGTTTGATATCAATTGTGAGAAGAAATTTGTGTTTTAGAGATTGCTTAGGGGTTTTCATTAAAGAGTTATGCTCTTATGTGAATTAATGGAATTATGTTTACAACTATTTATTTTTAATAGGGATAAATAATGTTAGGAGTTATTCGAATTTTTATCATGTATAGGAATATATATTTACCTTGTAGCCACAAACAATGAAACTGTATCACGAAGAATATCAATTACAAACACAAATTGATGAAGTAATGTGGTGAGCAATACTTTTACCCCTAGTAAAAGCACTCCCAAAAATATTACAGTCTTATTCTAGAAAAAATACTTTTACTTAGTTAAAAGTACTTTTTATCATTTTAAAAATCATATTTGGTAGGAAGAGCGAAAAAGCAACATAATATTTCTTGATACTTGATTCGAATTAGTTTGATATAAGATTACTCGACCTACACTAGTTGGCCTTTGACTTCACGCTCCAATGGGACCATATAACCCTTATGCATCTTGTTTGGTATTTCTTCCATCCAAAAATGGGCAATAATGCCTGTCAAGACAAAATGGTCAATAATGATGTTTGAATGATAATCTCGCATAAACTACTCAATCTTTAACTACATCCCGAATCCAAGCAAGAAAAATAGAAAATATTTAACTCCTTACTAGTAAGAATCTATATAGTCCTAACCATCATTGAAGCTAGTAGATCGTTACTTAAATTTAACCAACATTGTGCCAGCGCAGAGCTCGAACTTGAGACCTAAAACTAGGTGGTACCTCAAGACTCCAAACGCTAGCCTCTGTGTCTATCTTCAAGAGACGAGAGTTCATTATTTATTAGAAAAAAATTTCTATTTTTACATTTCTCTTTCTTAATCGTTAAGGATTCAATGCTGGTCAAAACTATGCAGGTCCTCCAAATATTTTTAACATGCATTGAGGGAAAAAAAAAATTGACTTCGGTATACTTTTTGGTTACTCTGCCACATTAAAAGAGGTAAAGGGGTCAAAGATTTGATTAAAAGGGCAAAAGAAATATATGTGTGTGTGGTCATAGTTCCTTTATTTTTATTTATTTTTAATTTTAGTCTTTTAGATTCTAATCATTTATAAAGTCTTTTTAACATTAAAATTTTCTATAATATGAACAATATTATGAATAATCTCAACTCAATTTAATACCACCAAAATATTATTACTCATGACTTCTTAATAAAAATAGGTGTCAATTACGACTGGGTTAAAGTTCGACAATTTTCCTCTCCAACCTCATTCTAAATAAGAAATTAAATACATTTGTCTAAAGAAAAAAAGGATACAAAATGCAATAACTTAGATGATAGTGTGTTTCATTTTGTCAAAAAATAAAGTAAAGATTGAATAAAAAATCCTACAATACACCATTTATAATCAGCATGATTTTCACGACGGGAACATTATTCAATGATTAATGGTGGAATAGGATAAGGAAGAGTCGCCATCTGATATTGACATGAATTTTCTAATTTTAAACCATTAAATTATTTTTTGAAAAAATGATTTATTTTGAAGTTCTAAATTATGAGTCACAAATTTATCGATATTTTGTGATGACTTTTTTTTTTAGCAAAATATACATTTAAGGAAATCATTTTTTCTATGAGTAATTTTTTAAGTGAAAATTGGGGAAAGAAGTTTTTAATCAAGGACTCTTTCAAAAGCATTTTAAGTGTTTTTTTATTTTAAAATGATCTTTTACTATTTAACTTTAACGTTTTGAGAAGTAGAAAGATGACACTAATACTTCATTTTGTCAAGAGGGGCGTGTTTGAGAGTGAAAGTAGAATTAGGATGTGTTTGAGACTGATTGTAGAAAGAGTGATTTTGAAAAAATATATTTAAAAAATAATGGATTTTCCAAAATCAGCATCACAAGAGATACCTTACAAATCAATTTTGAGTGATTTTAAGTTTCCCAAAATCAATATTCTAATTTGTCAAACACCATCCATGGGAAGGAAGTGATTTTGAGAATGAAAAAAGTGATTTTGACTATCACTCTCAAACCCACACTCTAAAGTGGCGAAGAGATATTAACTTAGCCAACCAACTACCAGCATGATCGATCTATCTTTTCACCCTTTTCAAAAAAATATTAACTCCACGGTTGGCATTCAACTAACCTTCTTAAAAATAATAATAATAAATTAATCATTATATTCGTTTTTTTAATTTTATTTAAAGATAAGATATTAGTTGAAAATATATTCAAATTCTAAATAATTCAAATATTTATGATGTTCTATTCTAAATATATTATTTAAAAATATAATCTAATTTTTTAATAGATAGATCATTTTTTTTCATTAAATAAAATGTGGCCTATTTGCCACGTTTGGAGGTCATCTGCACTCTTGAACTTGAGATTCTTTTTTTCCATTTTTCAATTTTCAAGTACATTGTTTATACTTCTGAGGTAATCTTTTAAATTTTAAGAAAATCTACCTCTGAATAAACCTTCTAATTTGGTTATATTTTCCGAAATCTTAGGGATTTAAAAAATATATATATATATATAGAGGTTAAAAAGACATCTGCAATGTGTCAAATATTCGTTTATTTAAAAAATATAATATATCTCATGAGAGACAACATGCCATGTACATAGAGGAGACTACACAATTTTTATAGTTTTAGCTTCATTATTGATATCTGAAATATTTTTGAAATAAAATTTATATTTTAATTCGAAAAAGATGGTATATTTCTTTTAATAAAAAAATTGTATATAAAAACCACGAGTTCGTTTATTAAAATGCCGTAGTCAGAGTTATCATTTAATGCAAATCTTCTCTCTCTTCCAACTTACAAATTTTTTAAGTCAATTTTCATTCCAGGACAAAGTTTTAAAATAACCAAGTTTTAAAAATAAATTAAAAAATAAAGTTAGTTTAAAAATAACTACAAAATAAATGTAATTTAAATAAATAAAATCAAATATAGGTTAGGTTTTCAAAACTATTGACAAAAATAGGTCAAAATAAAAGTATGTCTGTCATTTCTGTGCAAACGTATATATTTGACGTGGCAAGTGACTAGGCCGAAGTTGCGTACAATGTACGCGACTTTCACCTTTTTATTTTTTTATTTTTGGAAGTCGCGTACATTGTATGTGACTTCCCCTTATTTATTTATTTATTTTATTTTATTTATATTTTAATTTATATATTGTTATTTTATTAATATTACGAAATTTAATTAAGATGTGATTAAATTTTTTATTTTTCTTGTTATTATATTTTAAATTTTGATTAAAATTTTAAAATCTGAAAGTTTAAAATTAGATCAAAACCAATTCAATGATTAAAATGTCATTTAGCTTCTTGTGCTCCATCTTCGTATGTTCTATAATAACATTTAAATTTAATATAAATTAAATCGATAAAAAAATATTAAATTAATAAAAACATAAAAGTCAAGGTATAAACTACATGAATTTGGGGTATGGATAATTAGGGTTTTGTTTGTTTTATAATTATTTTGTTTTAAATTATTGCATAAGATGTCCATCGTGTTATAGCTAATTCATAATCTATTTTTCGAATATGGAAAAAATTCATATTATACAATTTAGTCTTCTTAAATTGTGATTTTTTAAAATAAAATTTAAAATAAATAAATAAATAAAAAGAACAAAAGGATATTGATGGGGAGTGGGGCTGCCACTTCTAAATTAAAAAAATATATAAAAAAAAAAGAAGAAGAACAAAGGAAGCGACTGACTTCAAAATTCAATATAATAAAAGATAATAAAAAGCGAAACAAATAAAGGGAACTTCCAAATAAAAAAAAAAATCCAAACGAAGTGGCTGCACTTCCAAATTCTGGAAAAAACAAAAGTTCCAAACTCAAAATAAAAAAAATAAAAAAAAACAAAAGACCCGTCAGCAAAGTCGTGGTTCCAGTGGAACCACGTCAGGGAGAAGTCGCAGCCAAGTGAAATCGCGGTCAATGACCACGATTTCGACATTAATCGCGGCCAACGACTGCGACTTTAGTCAAATCGCAGGCCATCCCTGCGATTTATGTACCCTATTTATGTAATTACTTTGAAACCTACCATAGTTTTGTCATTTGTTTTTAAAAAATAATTATTTAAGAAAAAATCCTCTTCCATTGATAAAGTTTTTCTTTTTCTCCTTTCTCAAAAAAATAATAATAATGAATAAAGTTTTTCTTTTCTCCAGACAAAAAAAACTCTAAATGAAAATCTTCGAGAAATTAATAGAGGAGAGATTACCTCAAAAAAGAATAAAAAAAATGTGATAGATATAAAGAAATAAATGATTGAATGTTGTCAACTTTAATATCTATTATAACACGTGGGATGGAAGATCGAATTCATAGTCTCTAGATGGAAGATATATATCAATTACCGCTAAACTAGACTCGCTTTGGCGTAAAAGTATTACAATCACACAGATTTCTCTCACTCTTTCAAAGCAAATACCGCTCAGTTAACTAGAGCTGGTACAGAGATAAAGTATTTCAATTTGAATGATTAAAACCCAAGTCCACGACCTTCTTTTATAGTAGTTGGAACACACTTCCTCGTACTTTTCCGATGTGGGACAACTTCTAGCACATGGAGACAACCAACCGCATACTCATTTAGGGGCTGCTCGGGGAGAACGCTGCTTCGTTTGTCTTTCTTATTTCTTATTCGGCTTCGTCGGTATCTGCTTCCTTTCTTTCTGCTTCATCCCTTGATGCGCCATGCTTAAGTTGATTATTCTGCTTTCTCTTCTCGCGCTATTGCTGTCTTTGCTTAGAGAGCAATGAGCTATACTTATTTTATAAGAATAACCGTACTTTACCTTTTGGAAGACTTTCCCTCTGGTGGAAAGCGGGTTGCAAGGTTTCGGTCCGATGCAACTCCTTGACAAAGAGCCATGTATCATGCACCGGCCAGCCATGTAGGTCCTGTTGAGCTCTTCCTTTTGATCCATTCGCTCATTCATATGAGTGGGGGAAGTCATTCGTGAATTGCTTTTATTCAGTTGAGGACGCATGTGAGTAAGGCAAGGTCTCACCAATTAGTGAAGAGTACCAACCGATTAGAAGACTGTGTGTGTACAATGAATTTCTTGTTTATGGTCCTTGTATTGTGACAACTTCAATTCTTAATATTTTGTCCAAACCCAAGACGACCTTACATATTGTACTAAAAAAATATATTTAGTAATTTCTCTTTTATGTATATAGTGGCTGACCGTGTGAAATTATAAACTAGGTTGTTCTAATCTCTTCCAATAATAAGAAACAAAATAATAGTATAATAAAAAAAACTTTCACACCATAGCATTTTGTAAATTATAATTATTTAATTACGGTAGACCCACATCATTTTAATTTTTTGATTCGAGTAGACCCACATCATTCTAAAATGATGTCCAAAAAATTTTGAATTAAATGCGTATTTTCGAGAATAGCATTTGAAGATATTACCATTTAACCCGATGGACAGGAACACATTGATAATTTTAATTATAAATATGGAGTCACCAAAATCTGAGCAAAAACACTTGCATCACAAATTCATTCTTCAGAAGAGAGCGTCGGAAAATGCTGTCGTCAGAATCCGGGGAGCTCCGGGAGCCGCTGGGGCCGGCGCCGGAGAAGGCGGCGGAGAGGGTGACGGTGGACGAAATGCTGCAGAAGTATTGCGGTGAGTTCGGGCGGTGGCAAATAAATCAGTTTCTTCTGATCAGTTTGTGTTGGATTCTCGACGCCTTCCACACCATGGTCATTATCTTCGCCGACCGCGTGCCGGACCGCCGCTGCCTCACCGGTTGCGCCGCCGCCGGGAATAATGATGTGTGTGGGCTTCCTCCCGGATCGTGGGAGTGGGTCGGCGGCGCCGGCAGCTCCACGGTTTCGGAGTGGGGATTGATTTGCGGTGAGAAGTACAAAGTTGGGCTCTCCCAAGCCATGTTCTTTGTCGGCGGCATGATCGGTCAGTAAATCTGGAGATTCCGTATAAATTAAATTTATCTAATCTAAGTTTGTTTCCAAGGCCGAGTGGTTTAAGCCACCACTTAACTTAAAACCTAAAAGTGAAACGTCTGTAAATTTAGTAAATTTAGTGGTGGTTTTTTTTTATGTTTAACCTGTTATATGTTATGTTGTACTCTTTCCTCTCCACTTCTAATATTTTCACTTGTTGGCTCTATGTAATTATCCAAATCCATACAAAGTGAAATGTTATAAATCTATATATATTGTTACATATTCATAAATAAGTTAAATTTATCCAATCTATCAGCTTTTGGATTGAATGATGATTTATTTATCTTTCAATATATATAAATTAAACGGGGTAATTTATTCATCCTTAACAGTAAATAATTATTTAACACAATTTTTTTTTTTTTAATTGAGGGGAGACCAGAAATAAAAAAGTTGTTTGATAACATTACCAAACAATGTTAAATTCTAGCTAGTTTAACTTTGTCCCCATGCCTTTTAACCTTTTTTTTTTCTCCTCTTCTTCTCTCTACTAGGAGATGCCATATTTGGGATAATCTCAGACTCTACCTTTGGGAGAAAACGTTCCCTTGTTGTAGTTTGTGCATTCAACGCCATCTTTGGATGCTTAACTGCATTCTCTCAGTCGTACTGGATCTATACCTTCCTTCGGTTCCTCACCGGCGTCACGACCAGTGGCAATGGCCTCTGCGTCTTCGTTCTCACCACCGAACCCATTGGCCCTTCCAAACGCGGCACCGTTGGAATGTCCTCCTTCTACTTCTTCTCCATTGGTATCGCCATTCTTGCCGCTATAGCTTACTTCTTCCAATCATGGCGAACACTCTACATTGCCTCCTCAATTCCCTCCTTCTTTCTACTCGTCCTCCCTTTCATCTCTGAGTCCCCGAGGTAGTGTTAGTGATTATGTTTGAATGCTATATTAGATTTAGATTATCTAATCAACTAAATGAAAGTACTCTTGAATTTTACCTTTTGTTTAAAAAATACTTCATTCTTTTAAAAGTTTCAATTCTAATCTTGACCTTTCATCCTTGCAGCAAATTCAAACATTATTAATATTTTGAATGAAAAGTTGACATGACAGAATCTGAAACGACTTAGTACTTGACATGGAAGTTTGCTTGAACTATCTAACCATGGAAGTTTGCTTGAACTATCTAACCAATTTTTGCTTTAAAAGTCTTATTCCTTCGTTATCAACAGAGTTGATTATCAATTGTTTATCCAATTTTACCTTAATATATTCCTTTTAAAAAACTATAGCCTCTTCTACATTTTTTTCTTTGAGCTTTCATGTTAGTTTCTACGTCACTCTAGATTCTGTCACGTCAACTTTCCATTCAAAACATTAACATATATTTTCTCAAAAGAGTATTTTTGAAATGTTTTGGATGGTATTGAAACTTTTGGAATAACAGATGTTTTTTTTTGTTTGACAGAGGGAATGAAAGATGTATTATTTTCTAAACGCTTTGAGGTCCTTTATGTAATTTAGCCAATCTTTTACGATGAACCATACTTTTAAGTAAACATTAACGGCTATTTATTTTTTCAAAAAATACTTTCTACATTCTTATCTTCTTTTCGCTAAAAATTTGAGGGTGGTCAACAGAAAATGGGTGTTGACGAATGATATTACTTTATTATTATAAATATATGGGTTATTTTGTGCTTTCTACCTAAATTTCACAGGTGGTATCTTATACATGGAAAGATGAAGGAAGCCATGAGCGTGATGACATCAATTGCTGAATCAAATGGAAACACAATTCCTGATGGAGTGATGCTGGCGCTCGATATGGAAGCAAACGACGACGTTTTGCAACAAGCAAGAGGAAAGAAGGAAACGACGACGTTGAGTAACCTAATGGATGTGATGATCCACTCGCCCGGGGTGCGTGGGCGTCTGTTTCTTGCATCTAGCATGAGCTTCATGTGCGCTGTCGTGTACTACGGATTAAGCTTGAATGTTGTCAACTTAAAGACAAATCTCTACCTTACTGTTGTCCTCAATGCCATCGTCGAGGTATATAGATATATATTTGAACTCTCAATTTTCTGTCTAATAAGTCATTTCTTACCCCATTAAAATACTTGAATCAGATACAAACAACTTAAATAAAAAAATATGAACTTTTATATTTCAAGAGTCAAACTCATAATTTAGCATGTTTATATGAATTTGCGCACCTCAGGTACCGGCCTTTGTGGTAACGGCAGTGTTAGTCAACATTCTAGGAAGAAAAGGGGTGGGGATTTTGACGTTTTGGTTCAGCGGTTTTTTCTGCTTGGTAGGAAGCTCGTTGAGTAGTGACGGTGGTTGGAAAACGACAAAGACGGTGTGCGGAGTATTGGGAATGTTTGGCATGGCTGGAAATTACAGTCTACTATTTTTATACTGCGCAGAATTGTTTCCGACAGAGGTATTATTAAATTAAATTACTGCTAAACTTAAAAGCTTAATAATCTTTTTTTTCTCTCACTCTAAATGGGTTATGCATTCAAACTATCAAGTCAATGAAAGGTAATAAATGTACTGTTAATGACAAAAACTTACAGGTAAGAAATACAATGGTGGGATTGACAATGCAGGCAATTGAATTGGGGGCCATATTAGCGCCATTTTTGGTGCTTTTGGGCGAGCGGTTGCCGTTAATGGTGTTTGCTGTTTCTGGGATCGTCGGTGGGGTGATCGTAATTTTCACACCGGAGACGATGAATAAGCCTTTATACGATACCATTGTTGGGATGGAACGAGGGGAAGCAAATACTTGACTCCTTAACAAAAGAATTTTGTTCTCACCCCCGTTAAATGTTGGACAATCTAGGGAGAGAAATGAAAAAATAAACTTTATTTTTTAAATAGAATGAGTTGTCAATTAATTTTCAATAATAAGAACAAGATTTGATTCTCACGATGGAGGAGCCAAATATTATCCCACGGCTAATTTATGTTTTCTATTTTTTGCCTTTAAAGATTGAAGTATTTATTAACAATTTCAAATTAAAGGAATTGTTGGTAAATCAATTCAATTTTTAAAAGCAAGAAATTAAAATCGAAGGAGGGTTACGAAGGAGGTGAGTAAGGAGGGAAATAATAATAATAATAATAATAAATAGTTTTGACCTTTAAAGTTATTTACCTTTTCTAATTTGGGATTTTCAAAATATTGAGGAAGTTGGTGCTGTGGATTTGAGGGATTAAGTAATATAGGCCCGTTTCTTCATTTTTTATAAAGAACAATAAATTGTATGATCCCAATATTCATGAATTCAAGTATGATAAAACAATATTTTTATTTATGATTTGGAACAAATTGGAAATGGAAAACAGAAATTAGAAACTTGTTTTGGTTGTTTCTAAAAGTTCTATACAATTTTGAGAATGTTCCTAATAAAGATAAACAAGAAATGTAGTTAGATGTAAAATGCTTAGATTTCTTAAGAAAATTGGAAACAAAAAATAAAAAATAGGAATGTTACAAACGGACCCATAGTTAACCGTTATTTTAGATAAATTAACATTTTACTCCATATAAATCTTTGCTTTCACTTTTGATATATCTTGTGCCATTTTTAGAGGTTTAATATGACTTCTAAAATGATTAAATTTCTTCGAGGTTCGTTTGGTAACGTCTTTTGTTTCAGTTGTCTTTTTTATAACTATTTCTAGTTCTTTTATTAACTTGTTTTCATCCAGAAAAAAGGAAACTTGATTTTATTGAAAACAAGAATAAGAAAACAATAAACTTGTTTTTTAATTGTTTTAAAAAATTTTATATAATTTTATGAACATCTTTAACAAAATCATAAACAAAACATAATAGTCAAAATGTTTAAGTTTTTTAATAAAATTTGAAATTTTAACGTTATCAAACGGATTCTATATAGAGAGTGTTGATGAATTCAAATTTAGTATAAAGTAGGTGTGAAAATAAAACAGGAAGGGGACTTGATAAAGTTTAAGCATGTACTGATTTTTTTCTTTTTTTTATTTAATTCTAATCTTAGAGATAATAACTAAACTTGGACAATAATTTTTGGATAATTTTACATCTAAATTGCAAATGCTAAAAGTTTATAATAAATTGGCATTTAATTGAATCAAAAATAAAATAATAAAAGGATAAGAAATTAGTTGAAATGGAAACAGAAGCAATTAATAGGGTGTGGAGAAGGAGATTGGGTTTAGATAGCGTGACAGGCCTGTCACGTCAAAATCTGAACCCACAAGTTTAATTGGACAATCAAATCCGACCCGCCACGTCGCATTGTACGACAGGTGAGGTGACACTGACAGTACCTTTTTCTTTTTTCCATCTTCTTCTTCAGTGATTGTCACCATTTATTAACCTTTTTTCAATTATTAGTCTCAATGATTTCTAAACGTTGTCGTTTTGAAAAATAAGTTCAAATATTATGTATCTTTATTTTGACCCATACACCCTCGCCTTACTGAATATTTGATATTTATTTTCAAAATTTTAACACAATTTTATACACAATCGAAACTTTTTAATAAAATTTATATCTATATTTCAAGAAAATTGGTAAATGAAATGTCATGTTAAAATTTTGATTGAAATAAATGAAATAAAAATAAAAAATGAAGGGATCGAAATTGTCACTTTTTAAAATTACAGAAACCAAAACGGATGTTTCAAAACTACATCAACTAAAATAAATAGAAGTTTAATGTATAAGGACCAAAATGAATGTTTTGAAACACAAAGATTAAAATAAGATATCTGAGTGAATGGAAAGAAAAAAACAAAGGAGGAATTCCACTTTAAAAGGACACGTTCACGGCTCGAACTCTCACTCAATGGAGAGTATTGCATATCGCCGAACCAAAATTGAAGTAAAAGAATCAAAATAATATTTAAATCTGAAATATATTTAATAAGTTAATAAACTTTTAATATTTTGAAAGCCTTAGAAAGTGTTTCAGAGATTTTTGAACCTTCAATTATATATTTAATAGGTCACTCCCTCAATTTCAATGTTTTCTCACGACTAACTTTGTTGAACGATACATATTGTGAAATGGTGGTGCTAAACGACATTCAATGTACCTTAATTTGTTGTTTTTGTCTAATTTTGCTAGAAGTTTTTGACCTTCAACATCAATGTGTTGGAGACTAAAAAGGAAAGTTTTGAAACTTTAAATCCCAAATAAAAAACAAATTGAATAGAATAGAATGTACCTGCAAACGTTTGGTGAGGGGTTAGAGAAAGTTTGAGATGTGGGGTAAGTTGCATGTGAAATAATAGTTTGCATTATACTTCTTGACTCATGGTTTTTTTTTTCTTTGGATTTAATGATATGGGCATTAAAGAATAATGTAGGTATAAGTAGTTGAGCTGAAAGGCAACAATTGAGCCACGGGATGATTCTTTCACATATGAGGCGTTAATAATTTTACCTATTAAAAAAAAAGATAAAGAGATATATTATATCATTGATTTTGAGCTGAAACATCTTTCATGTCTACCTACAATGAATTTTATGTCACCGTCTCGAAATTCTCATACTCGACATGAATATAATTTTGGCAAGTCTCATTAAGTGAATAYATTACTTTACGTCTTGGAAACTCCACACTTTTCTTAAATGTGGTTGATATATGAAAACTTTCAATACTACTGTATGACTRGARATTTTTCAAATAATAATAGACATAAATCGAAGCATTTCAAATAATAATAGACATAAATTGAAGCATATCTAGGATAATACACCTATTATATTTTTCTTAAAGGTTCGACCTCCTACCATCCCATCTATTGGCGAAGTAAAAAAACGGCATAGACTATATATGATAATTCTTAATTAAATGATACTTCAAAAATGTAAAGGCCAACACAAAGGCTTAAATTATACATAAGCAAAATTATTCTTTTTAGGAATAATAATTTATGTGGCTATTTTTAGACAAATGATTTTTAAAAAAATTACTATTAACTAAAAATTTTCTAACATGTAGCCAAACGTTAATTCGTTTTTTTTTTTTTACTAATTTGTTTATAGTATGATTGATAATTTAAGACTTTATTTGATAATAGGTTTGTCGCTATTTGTATCATTCAATTATCTAACATATTGATGATATGTAACTTYGAATTTATATGTATTAATTTGTATTTTGGAAAAATATATTAATGTTGAGCATATATTCAGGGCAAGCCTAGAAAGCATATTTTGGGATCGGAGAGTTAAATTGTAAAATAAAAATAATTAATCAAAGTTATTTGGTAACAGAATCCATATGTGAAGTGGAACATCCTAAATAAACTGATATAACAATATATATTATAGGTTCAACGGTTTAATAATAACATTTTATTATGTAAGCCTTAAAAAAGTTAGGTGCTTTGCAAATTTATTCCGATTAAAATATTTACAAAAATAATAGTTAGACAAATTTGACAAAGTGAGTATAGTTCAGCAGTAATTGACATATATCTCCAACCGAGGTCGTGAGTTCGATCCCCATCCCCATGTTGTAATTAAAAAAAATAGTTAGACAAATTTAAAATATAGCAAAAATAAAAATAGGTATATCAATAATTACAATTAATCAATCGATAGTAATAGTTTTTAAGATTATAGTCTATATCTAAGTTAATGTATGTTATTAAGTTGATCAATGATTTATAAATTATATAAAAAAAAGCTCTTATTTGTAGTATTTAAAAATAAAACATTACCAGAAATTATTTAAAAGAATAATACATATATATTTCAAATGTTTTAGAAAAATGACACTCTCGATTAGAAGTTCTAAAAAAAACATATTTACATATATTAAAAAATAATTTACCATTTTCTAAAAGTAAACTTTAAGTCACTTGCCTATAGACATTTTATCAAAATGCATATATAAATAAAAATTAAACATTTTTAAATGGCGCTTGGAGCTACCTAATAAATTGTTTGAGAAACAATACTTAGGTGTTTATTGATCGGCCTTTATTGATCACCATTAATTTTTTTTTACAAGTAAGAGAGAAATGTAGAAAATAAAATTACCAAGGTGTTTATTGATCGGCCTTTATTGATCACCATTAATTTTTTTTTACAAGTAAGAGAGAAATATAGAAAATAAAATTACCAACCTAGCATAACTTAACTAGTTAAAGTACATATTTCCAATCAAAATGTCGTAGGTTCGAATCTCAATCCTCATATGTTATACTAAAACAAGAAAAGTAGAATCTGATATTTTACTATTCTTAGTTTTTGGGGGCATTGGGTGGGACAAAATAATTAATTGGGTTGATCGCAAAATGTGAACTTATTATGGCTTAGAAAATGATTTCTATTATTTCAATTAGGGCTTATAACGAAAAAAGAGAGAAAATAAAATAAAGGGAGGACGTTATGACAATGATAAAAAATTAAGAACTAAAATAATATTTTAAATGTTTGGCAACCAACTTTATATATGTGGATTCTCGACTAGGCTATATGTAATAAGCAAGCAATTCGAGGTGGACTCTAACGTGGGTTAACGAGCAACATGCACAAATAGAACCTTGCAGTATCGATGTGGTCTTTAGCCACACGTGCATTCTAAAACTTAATTTAGTGCTTAGTTCGAGCTAGTGCCAAGTCGARTTTAATTAAATGCATTGARTTAGGATTGCATACCTTTTAGGAACGTGGCTGCTCCTGTACTTGTCATTCAGCAATCTTCCACCAGCAATCAAAAGATCCCCTACTAGTAGAATTGGCATTCACTAGCAATTAGAATCTTATTTACATCAGATCAGTCGAGCTTTACTCTACTTTTGGACACGTTCTCGTCCTCCACATGTTTGAGCTGAACACACGTGTCTCARCAGGAACAGGCCACGCGTTTACAGTTAATTTTACCCATAATAATACATAATATAAACATACTAACTGAACTTTCTCTTTTTTTTTACCGAACTAATTGAACAACTTAACACCTAAMAGAAGGTAATTTTGTAGTTATCCATGCTCATGCCTTACACACATTATTGGGAAAATTAAACTCAACCAATGTATCATGTAAAGCATGCACTTTCACTTGTCACCCCAAAACACATCTTTCATATGACAAAACCCCAAGACACGAAACTTCCTTAAAACCAACCACAATAAAAAAGAACAAAAAACATTTCCAAAACTCTCCTTCTTTCTTCTTCTTCCTTTCTTTCACTCTTCAACCTTATGGGCGACGACGTCCAGGAATCGGAGCTAAAACCCACCGTGGAATCGGTGCCAGAGAGGCTCACCGTCGACGCCATGCTGCAGAAGTATTGCGGGGAGTTCGGGCCATGGCAGCTGAGGAATTTCTTGTTGAGCAATCTGAGCTATACCCTTGAGGCCTTTCAGACGATGGTCATGATCTTCGCTGATAGAAATGTCGAGTGGCGGTGCTTGAACGGCGACTCCGACGACTGCAATGCGGCGGCGAAAGATGTGTGTGGGCTGAAACCTGGCTCGTGGGAGTGGGTTGGCAGCCGTGGAAGCTCTACGGTGGCAGAGTGGGATTTGGTTTGTGGGAATAAGTATAAAGTTGGTTTGGCTCAGGCCATATTCTTCCTTGGTTGCACATTAGGTATCTCTTGCTCTCTCAATTATTTGATGGACTGGAACAATGCCGCGGATAATTTAGTTASGTTGGWTACGTATGAGTGATTAAAAATTGTGATTTGACTAGATATCTATCGAGTTAGAACGGGGATAGCCACTTCCAACAGCTGAAATAGATATTTAAATCAACAATATTTAGGTGCTTACGGATCAGCATTCATTTTTGTGCTGATCGTCAATAAAAATTTGACAAAGATATAAAAAAAAATATATCTTTTTTCCTATATTTCTCTCTTTTACTTGTTCAAATTTTAATRGCGATCAACAAAAGATGGGTACTGGATCAGTAAGCACCTAAATATTGTTGAATTCAGTTCCATGTATGATCAAACCACATTTTTTTAATTTGACTCCTACATCAATTGAGTATATAAAAACTCAATTACATTGTTCCAACGTCTCCTCAACCCCAAGAGAATTTATGGTAGTACGATTAGTATGAGAAATCTTTTGTATTACCTCCTATGTTATTAAACAATGACCATTAATTTTGGAGAAAGAAATAAATCAAATGAAATAAGTGTCCACTTTCTCTCTTGATTTAGTTAAATTTGGTCACTCACTTTCAAACTAATCTTCACTCACTTGTATGTAACAGGTGCAGGGATATTTGGGCATCTTTCAGACTCTAATTTTGGAAGAAAACGCTCCCTTGTTCTAGTTTGCATCTTAAACACCATTTTCGGCTGCTTAACAGCTCTCTCTCCCTCCTATCGAATCTACGTCCTTCTCCGGTTGTTAACCGGTGTTAGCACCGCGGGCATCTCCCTCTGTGCTTTCGTTCTTTCCACCGAACCCATCGGTCCAACAAGACGTGGCACGGCAGCCATGTCCTCGTGCTACTTCTTCTCCGGTGGCATTGCATTACTCTCAGGCATTGCCTACATCTTCCAATCATGGCGCAAACTCTACATCATCTCCTCGGTCCCCTCTCTCTTCTACCTTGTCGTGGTCRTCCCCTTCATCTCGGAGTCCCCACGGTGGTATTTGGTTAGAGGAAAGCTCGACAAGGCCATGAAAGTTCTAACTGCCATAGCAAACTCCAACAACAAACACATCCCACAAGGAGTCATCATCTCACTCGACAAAGAACATAAACAACAACAACCATCGAAAAACAATCAGACAATCATCGACGTAATGCGCTCTCCCACCACTCGCACGCGACTCCTCGTCGGAGTGGGGGTGAATTTCATGAATGCAGTGGTGTACTACGGCCTGAGCTTGAATGTAGTCAACCTAAACACAAATCTCTACATTAATGTGCTTCTGAACGCCGTCGTAGAGATGCCTGCATTCGCGGTGACGACGGTGATGTTGGGGAAGATGGGGAGGAGAGGGGTGGGGATTTGGACCCTATGGTTCAGTGGGGTGTTTTGTTTTGTGGGGAGTTTGATGAAAAGTGAAGGGAAATGGAAAGCGGGGAAGATGGTGTGTGGGCTATTAGGGTTATCAGGGATGGCAGGGAATTACAATTTGTTGGGTTTGTATTTGGCTGAGCTTTTTCCAACAGTGGTGAGGAATGTGGCTTTGGGGTGTGCCTCTCAAGCCACTCAAATGGGGGCCATTTTGGCACCATTTGTGGTGCTTTTGGGGGGAAGATGGCCCTTTCTGGTGTTTGGAGGCTGTGGAATTGTTGGTGGGCTGTTTCTTTTTTTTCTGCCTGAGACTCTCAATAGGCCTTTTTATGATACTTTGGCTGGTTTGGAGGATGGAGAGAATAATGCTTCTTCTTCTTCCATGAATGTTGTTCCCATAAGTTTGAATAATATTTGACATGTGAATGCCAAATCTCCCTTTCTCTAATCCACTCCTATGGYGAGGATAATTATCGCAAATGACCACCGTTAATTAGCAAGAGCTAACTCTCTATCGACTTTTGACAATGTTGACTTGTTTTAGTAATATATTTCTATTGTATTTAATAGATAAGTGAATCTCACTAATATTTCTTAACTATAAATAAAACTAATTTGAACTTATCTCAACCGGTTATGACAACTAAAAGATCGCGAGTTTGAATAAAAAGAATATAATGTAGTAGTTAAATTGTTATGAACGGATTAATCAATATATAGTTTATCTAGTTGGGTGACAATTCAAAATGCATGTAGTACCTTACTTTTCATATTTTCTTTGCAAGTATAAATTAGATAGTGTAGAACATAGCCTAAATTAGATAGTGCCAATTAGAACATAGCTCCCCCGATCGATGATGAAAAAAAATCGAGAAAGTGGAGGGAGAGAAGTGGAAGGATCCAAATTGGGACTTTGCCAGCTGCCTGTTTCAAATGCTTCTTAATGCCAACAACTGAGCTCCCGCTGCCATCTCACTTCATTATTCAATTCACCAAACCCCCATGCAAATCCATGATGCCACTTCAACCACATACAAATATTTCATTCCACAGAAGAAGAAAGAAGAAAGAAGAAAGAAGGCAGTACCCTCTGAAATCAACCCCAACACCACACCTCCCATATCTCTCTTTTTCTCTGATGCCAGGGATGTCGGAGACGGCGACGGTATCGCCTCAAGTTGAGCTCCAACAACAACAGCCACCTCCGCCGTCGGTCGAATTCGCGACCGAGAGGCTAACGGTCGACGACATGCTCCTAAAGTATTGCGGCGAGTTTGGGCGGTGGCAGTGGAAGAACTTCCTGTTGGCCAATCTCAGTTGGACCTTAGAAGCTCTGCACACCATGGTCGTCATCTTCGCCGACCACGAGCCACATTGGCAGTGCGTCGCCGGAACGGCCTGCAACAGAGCTGCGAAGAGCGTCTGTGAATTGAAGCCTGGTTCGTGGGAGTGGGTTGAAGGCCGCCGGAGCTCCACAGTGGCGGAGTGGGGTTTGATTTGCGGTTATAAGTACAAGGTCGGCTTGGCCCAGGCTATGTTCTTTCTTGGCTGCATGATGGGTCAGTCCCTCTCCCTCTCATATTCCTAAGGTTAAATTAGGAATTTGGTTTTCCTAAAGTTTTGAAATTTGTAATTTTAACTTGTTTGTTATACCACCAGGATCTGGTTTGTTCGGCTACCTTTCAGGCTCTGCTTTGGGAAGAAAACGATCTCTTGCATTAGTTTCCATTTTCAATGCCATTTTTGGGCTACTAACAGCAGCATCGCCATATTACTGGACCTATGTCCTCCTCCGTGCCCTAACCGGAATCAGTACCGGTGGGAATGCCGTATGCGCCTTTGTCCTTGCTACCGAACCTATTGGTCCGACAAAACGCGGGGCAGCTGGAATGTCATCCTTCTACTTTTTCGCCAGCGGAGCTGCCATCATATCGGGAATGGCCTACGCCATTCGATCATGGCGTAAACTCTACATAGCTTCCTCTATTCCCTCTCTCGTCTTCCTAATCATCGTCCTTCCCTTCATCTCAGAATCACCAAGATGGTATCTGGTTCATGGGAAGCTTGACGAGGCCATGAAGTTGATGAACTCCATAGCCAAATGCAATGGCAAACACCTCCCCAAAGGAGCCATCCTTTTACTCGATAAAGAAGCAATTGGCGACGACGCAAAAACCAACCATAACCATGAAGGACATAGTAGCTTCGCAATCTTAATTCGCTCACCCATTGCAAGAACTCGTCTGATCATAGCAATGGCCATAAGCTTTGTAGGGGCAGTTATATACTATGGTCTGAGCTTGAATGTGGTCAACCTGAAGACAAATCTCTACCTCAGCGTCTTCCTCAACGCAGTTGCAGAAACTCCGGCTTTTCTCATAACTGCAGCTCTGTTGGGTAAGCTTGGGAGGAAATGGATAGGGGTTGGGACACTCTGGTTCAGTGGGGCGTCCTGCTTAATTGGGAGCTTGCTGAGAGGCCATGGAAGGTGGAAGGTTGGGAGGATGGTGTGTGGGATGATGGGGATATTTGGGATGGCTGGGAACTACAACTTGCTATTTTTGTACCTGGAAGAGCTATTCCCGACGGTGGTGAGGAACGCAGCGATAGGCGCCGCTACCTTGGCGATTCAAATGGGGGCAGTTATGGCACCGTTTGTGGTGGTTTTGGGAGGTCGTTTGACGTTTGGGGTGTTTGCAGGATGTGGTTTGGTGGGTGGGATATTGGTATTTTTCTTGCCGGAGACACTGAATAAGCCTCTCTATGACACCATGGCTGGTTTGGAGCATGGGGAAAGAGGTTCTATTGATGCTTGAAAAGCTTTCCAAGGTCAAGATCATATGCAAAAATGGGATTATGATGTTACATTTACAATGCTACTTACTGTACTAGGAAAAGAAATGATTAAAGCAAGGCAATTGTTATGCAAGTCCGAGAATAAGTCTGGACAACAAGAAATTCTTGCTACTATAATAGTTACCAGTCCACAACCATACAAGCAGTACCAAACAAAGGCTTCCCATTAAAAAAAATGCAGATCAAAGTAAGTTTATTTGCGAGCATATATATAAATAAGTTCGAGTGAATTTGTTCAAAAATAGGTGGCCAACATCGTACACATAAAATTCTGTCTCAATTTAAATATACTCTCGTACCTGCGGCAGCTGGGCAGCTGATCTCCAGTCCCGCAGAACAAGAGAGTTCTCAGCAATGGGAGTTAAGACCAATAAACCTCCATTGAAGAAAGAACTTGAATCATATAATTCCTGGGTTTCATCTTGCAGACCAGTAGCATCCTTGCAAAACTTAATGAGAGAGTCATTGCCGGCCATACGGAGGTGCTGCATTGTTCTCGGGAGGTGGTCTTGGTCTGGCATACTCAGCAAATATAACCCAACCATCCAGGAACTAGACAACATTGAGAGGGAAATTTTCATCTTAGAAAGAAGCGACATATTTATATAAAAACAGAGAGAGATATATCAACTAGCAACATGTGTTCCAAAGCAAGCATCAAACTGTTTAAATCTTATTTTCAACAGATACTAATTTCTAATGTAAACCGAAATAACTACAGACGCGGAGGTAACACTTTTACATATRGTCTGAAAAGATGGACTCAAAAGAAACCCAAATCAATTACTTTATTTTACGGGAATGTGACTCCAAGAACAAGCAGTCTGTTGGCCGGTCCTTCCCTTCTAGGACTTTCGACTATTATTAAAGATTTGTTACCATCTGGGCTCTGGCCAAAATTGATGATATAATGATTGCAAGGAGGTATAGTCTTTTAAAGGTTAAATTAAAATGCAACTACTTGAGGTTGATTAAAGTCTAAGAGTCAAGTTCTACCTCAAATGGCTTTGAGCTTATGGTCAACCTAGGATATGTATGTCAATCCTACAGAAAGTCTTACCCTAAAACCTTAAGGGTGTTGTAAGGTCGTGTTCATAAAATTAGACAATTTGAGCATAGGCTAAACTTAAAAATTCACGATCACTAAAAATAATGCAGCCACCTTGAAGCCAACTGTTCTCCCATACTGGTCAAATGGCAAATATTACACATGGTAGCTCTACGAATTAATTTATGAGTTTCCACGTAATATTCCTATCTTTAAGGGAATTACATCAAGAAGATACCATTACGTATTAGATTAAAGGTAGAAATCGCAGTTCCCTGTAATCAGCAAAATTATCAGCCAAAGCCAAGTATAATGAGGTTCAAGATTGCAGAGCATGTATCATGGCCAATAGCTGAGTGCTGTATTAGGCAACGTGTTGTCTATACTGCACGTGGAATTCTCTAGAATGCTATCTAGCATTCATATGTGGATAACGCTAAACGCCTTATCCAGGAATCTTCTATATATTTGTGCAATCCCCCAAATAACACAACGAAGGCATATTCTAATATAATTGTTTTCTCATTTTTAAGTGTTTGTTTAGAGAGTAGTCAATAATCACCCTGGCCTCTCTCCTCTCGCAAGTGCAAAAAGTGAGTGTGAGATCCAGGGATCTTGTATTTAAATGTGGATRACACTACACACCAAATTAACTTCAATAACTCGAATGAGAAAATGGAGGGAACTGATGTCAACTCACCTTTCCATCCATACCCTCTATGCCTTTAGCCGCATCTTCCAAATTGGCATATTTAACAAAGCCAAATCCTTTAGAATATCCTGTCACTCGATCAGTCACAACTCTAGCTGAAAACAGAAGGGGAAAAGTTAAAGAATAAACTCATATAAGGCCTAACACACAAATCAAACAAACGCGGAGCAGAGAGAATGAACAACTGTACAGACCATGAACAACTTCACCAAACTGTGCGAAGGTTTCATGAAGCTTTTCGGTAGTAGTGCGTTTACTGAGGCCTGAAAGAAGGTAAAATATCGACATCACATGAAAAACAGAGTTCTTTGTTGGCAACAACAATAAATTGCACTTATAAACAATCAGGCAGTTCAACACATTCACAGCAAAATTTCCCTTGCAAGCAGAGGAGGCCAACGCCCTTCTCGGGGCACGGATAGCCACCTCATACTATCAAAACAGAACCTTGAAACACAATATTAACAGATTCACGACCAGAAAATGAGCGAATAATAAAACGCACACACGAGATACAGTAAAACAAATAATCGAAAGGTATCAAGATTAAGAAAGAATTGAGTTACCGGAAACGAAAAGGTTAGTACTAGGCTCAGGCTTCTCACGCTGCTGAGCGGACGGAGGGAGCGGCGGAGGAATGAAACTGGAGGTTGAAGCGCCGGAGAACAGCCGGACAGAAACGAAGGAATTCGCGCTCGGCTCCGGTTTCTCCCAATCCCGAATAGAGTGCGAGATCGTCGATGGAGTAAAAGTTGAAGTACGAGAAAGAAGCCGCCTCAAACTCCGAGGAGCCGCCGCCGCCGCCGATCTGAGAGCCATGGCCTTGGGGTTTAAGATACTGAACCCTTTCTGGAACGGGCGAAGAAAAGATTCGACAAAAAAGCGGAAGTTTTGGGCGACGGATTTGGAGATTGGTTTAAGGCAAAGAGAAAGCGGGTAATCATCTTAAATTACCAAAATATCCTGCATTTTGGTATAAACCTTTCACTATTTAAGGGCAAATTTGTCTTATGGCCATTTGCGCTAGATTTCTCTATGGTTAGTAGGGCACAGAATTGAGGCCCAAGCAGGTGTTTCGTATGAGCCTCTGCCTGTTATTTCCGGCCCAATGCAATACTTGTTTGACCAAAAACTATTTTCAAAAAATAATTTTATAACTTGTTTTCAAATTTTTTTTTTTAATATAAATAAAAGTGGTCAAGGTAAGTGGCTCCATTTTTCGAAGGTCTCGTTTATATTTGAATTTTTTACTAATAATATAAATTTAAGAAACTCGAATAATATTATCTTTCTTCTTGATCTTTTCAATATTTAGTGTTAACTTTTCTCTGTTCATTGTGATTTTATTTACTGTAGTTCAAGAGTTTTTTTAGGGGAAGATTTGATAAAGAATAATGGCATAGAAAATGTTCGCTAAAGAAAACACAGAAAAATAGATAAAAAAAAACAACCCATCAAATTTCTTGATAATCATGGTAAAATATTTTTGAAAAGAGTATCCTCATTTTTTGCTATGATGTATGCTTTTTTTAAATATAAATATTTTATATTTGAATAAGCTTTCTTATTTTAGTTTAAATCCTATCTTGATTATATTTGGTCTTGATAACCATTTTACTTTCTATTTTTTATTTTTTTAATTAAGTTTAAATACATCACTTTTACATGTTTATTCTTATGTTTTGTTATATGGTTTTTAAATTACTAATAAAATTGCAAAAAAAAATAACACTAATTTTCAAAAAAAAAATTACTAAAACGAAATGATTATCGAATATCTATCTTGTCTCGATCACATTTTGCTTCAATATTTATTAATAGCATTTTACCTATCTGTCCCATGAGATTAGTTGGTCTCATTTTTAATCTGACTTTAAGAATTCATCATACTTTTTCCTCTTGAATTCGTCATATTTTTAGTTATTTTTTTAATACAATTGTCAATATATAGAAAAATTTTATTAATAGAGATCAAAATGTTAAAAGGATRAACAAAAGTCAAGAGTAAAAAATTGAACCGAAATATTTCTAGACGGTACAACCATTATAGAAGGGTATGATTTTGAAAGCTTTGTATCAATATTAAATTGTCTCATGACCAGATAGTGTTAAAATAAGAATGATAAAGCCATAGCCCCATTGGAAAAGAGTACCTTTAGAAATTTACTTTAAATTAAGAAATGGTAATTAATAGAGAGATTACTATAAAGTGAATTTAATTCGTTGCTTAGAAATAGTTTTAAGAACTGGTCATCATAGATCAATTTGAATGATATACCTTAGTGTCTTCCATAGTTCCATGCCATCAAATTCATTGTAGCAACCAAGAAACAAAGGGAGAGAAGGATTATGTTCAGAAAGGATCTTGTAACAAAACTTGGGACAAAAACTTCTAAATATGGTCTTCAACATAATGTAAACTAAATCAAACATAATGGAAGGCGCTACGGATTAGCCAAAACAAACGTCGAACAAGTCGAATTGCTCTAAGCACCTTTATCGGCCTTGGCAGCGGTAGCAGCAGCCTGTCCACGGAGCCTACCAGTTCTCCTGGCAGCAATGAGACCAACCTTTTGACCAGGTGGGGCATCACGGCGAACAGTACTGGCATGACCAATGTGTTGATGGTTACCACCACCGTGGGGATGTTCAACTGGGTTCATAGCAACACCACGAACCTTAGGCCAGCAGTTGCGCTTGACGCGGAACTTGTGGTAAGCATTACCTGCCTTGAGAAGAGGCTTCTCTGTTCTTCCACCTCCAGCAACCTGACCAATCATAGCACGGCACCCACTAGGCACAATCTTCTTAGCTCCAGATGGAAGTTTAATCCTGCAAAAGCCAGGATTTCGGGATGACATCGAGTAGGAATCAAATCAAATCAAAAAAAAGTCTCGTACTCAAAAGAACAAATTCAGCAACCAGTTACAAACACAACTGCGGTTATCTGCAGAAAACTAATCTCCTTCAGCCTTTTTTTCCCTTTCTATACTGACAGAGGTGATAGATCACCATATGGCAACTCATAATACAGTTTTATTAACAAATACACAATGGCCAGCACTAACAAATCAGTCAGAGCAAGTAATATAAATGTGAAGGTTTTTTATTTTAGATAAGAAGTGTATACGTTTTCCTATGATAAAACACTGTTCATGTTCGTGAGAAAATAATTGTGTTGTAAAGCTACTGACCATAGGGATTCCTCCAAGCAACACAGTAAAAATATTTACCTAGGCATGGATCAAGATAAACAATATTCTTTTATAGGAAGAAAGACATATCATAAATCARGTGAAAGTATAACAAGGATAGAACACCCCCCAAAAATAGTGAAGGAGTTGAAAAGGGTAACTTAATTTCGGAATAATTGATGAAACAAGAGATAGTTAGAAAGAGAATTAGACTAAGCACTCCAAGAAGTTGCTAAAAGTATTACAGCCTCATAAAACTTCTTAAGCCCATTCCTTCAAAAATTCTCCTCTTCCTTTCCAACCTCATAAAACTTGCTAAAAGTATTAGACTAAGCACTCCAAGAAGTTGCTAAAAGTATTACAGCCTCATAAAACTTCCTAATCCCATTCCTTCAAAAATTCTCCCCTTCCTTTCCAACCATCTCTTTCTTACAAATTGCTTCATAGTGCCAATAAATTAGTCCTCACATAAATCAGATTGCTTCTTTTCAATTTGAGCACAAATGAAACTGCTAGTAAAAACAAAAAGAAACTAAACGGAAAGAATAGATCTTTTCATATCAATGACGAAAAAAAGTTCTACTATATAAAATCAACGTAAAGGAGAAACTGAATGAGTAGCCCAGAGGATCTTTAAATCTGCCATCTCAACYAGCTAAATAGCACATTCAAGTCAAACCCATTTGTAAGATTCAGTTCAAGATCCTTCTAACAAATTATAGCATAAACATCCCACGTACAATTGCAATAAAAACAAGTTCTGAAAAACATAAAACCAGAGAAAAACTAGAACATAACCTACCACTAGCAACTCAAAAAACATCAATTAATCTCACACCACAACAACATAAAAATACAAAATCCATATCTTGTATAACAAACACGATTCAATTCTGGTAATCGAAACAAAAAAGTACAGAAATCAAAATTTACCTGCTGGTATCATTATCTGGGTTGTGGCTAATAACAATAGCATAATCACCAGAGCACCTAGCGAACACACCTCGGTCACCCACATGGTGCTCCACATTACAAACCACAGCACCTTCAGGGATGGCTCTGATGGGGAGCACATTACCGACAACAAGATTGGCCTTCTTCCCGCAGTAGACGAACTGGCCGGTGTACATACCCTCGGCGGCGATGAAGAGCTCCTTCTGGTGCTTGTAGCGGAAGGGGTGGCGGAAGGTGACGCGGGCAAGAGGGGCRCCCCTGCCCGGATCGTGGATGATCTCGCTGACCACGCCCTTGAGGTAGCCATTTCGCTCGCCGAAGTCCAGAGAGCGGAACCGGGCAGGGCCCTTCCGGTGGTGGGTGTGAGACCGGAAAACTGATCCGGCACCCTTACGCTGAGCTCTGATAACACGACCCATTGGGAGGATCGAATTAGGGTTTTGGGGATTGGGGGAAGGGGAAGGGAAGCGGGGCGCGGTGATTGAGAAGTGGAAAATGCAGAGGATTAGGGTTTTTAGAGGAGAACGGGAGGGGTTGCCCTAGATGGGTGTTTGGGTACAGTTGGAAGTTTATTCGGTGTTTGGATTGGGAAGGATTTGGCTTGGATAAGGATACTCTTAGTCCTTATTTGATTATGTTTATATTCTCGTTTGTTTTACTTGATAACATTTTTTTAAATAATTGGAATAACATTTTTTTCTAAAAGAATGGATATGAACTAAAATGTAATGATGACTAAAAAAACATTTGTATGTCAAAACAAAATAATAATAATAATAATAATAAATAAATAGGATGGGATTGGAATATATTCTTCATCTCTTCCTCTATTTTTTGACTCGTGATTTACGGTAACTTCTTATTTCTATCGTACGAGTATAGCTCAGCAATAACTAATATCCACTATTTGGAGATTTTGAATTAATTATTAATTATTAAATATTTATATCTATATCTATAATATATATAAAAGTCACTATTATAAGAAAATTTATCTATGCCGCGCGTTTTAACCCTTTCCATTATTCATTTGATGGCCATTTGTGTATTTAAATACAAATTTTATCTCCCTCAATTTCTCTCCTCTCTCCCTCAGGATCCTACCCGTCTAAATTCTCCTCTTTTCTCTCAGTAATTTTGTCTCCCTTTTTAAATATTTTCTACAAATTATTTTTTTATCTCTAAAAAATTCTATCATTTCTCTCCCTACAATTTTCTTAACTCAATTTATTATTTAATAATGTAAAAAGTTAGAAAATACAAATTTAGGATATGTAAAGTTTTTTCATTATAACTTTTTTGGCTATAAATTTTGTGACAAAATTGCCCTTTACTCAATCTAATGAATTAAATATAAGCTAATTTATTAATTATAAATTATTGTTTTTTTAAATAGGGATGTAGATGAAAGACTCCAACACGACTATTTGATGAATAGATCAGAGAGAGGTCATTAGACTATTAAGATCAATTAGGTCCATCTCRTGTTTAATTAGTGTAATGTATATAATCAAAATCTGTCAAGTGTCAAGTGTCAAGTGTCGTGGAACGACGTATGCTGGGCTCTAGCAAGTTGTTGTAGAGTGAGCTGGAGAGGGAAGACCTCTCTAGCAAACTACAGCAGAGCGAGCTGGAGAGGGAAGACTTTTCAGGCGAGTTGACACGAAGCGAGATAGAGAAGATCTACAAAAATGGGTAGACCACTCCACGCTAGACAGATCAGCTTCAGACATAAATTGCATACCTGYTTAGGTGGAGTGATAGTGTATTATAGAAGTTAGATTGGTGGTGCCCATCTAATACGTCTACCCATTGGTGGCCTACTCTTTAATAAGAATTCATGAGGATTGCCTTTTCAAATTAATTCAAGTACGTTGTGTTCTCGATTTTAAGTTATCTATCTAGTTGTTTAAAAATTTTATATCCACAAGCTTGAATCTTTATCATCTACTCTTTAGGGGAAAATAAAAAAATTGGTACATGAAATTCTCGATTTTTACATTTCGTTGTGTTTTATTCATGAGCCTCTCAATTAAATATTTGTGTTTCTTTGAAGACCAAGACTCGAATCTCCTATCTTTTAGTCAATAGTATATATTTTAACTTGGYAGATCAGTATTTATCTTTTTTCATRCCTCTTATTTCTTCATCTCTAATACTTTGTTGCCTTAAAAATATAAGGGATGAAATTTTGACAAAAGAGGGATAAGATTTGACCTCCAAACTTTATATATACACATATAATCCTTCATATCTCAAAATTCAGAGAGGTGAATTAAAAGGAATACTTCAAAATCTTTTTTTATCATTTTTTTTTTAATCTAACATAAATTAAAGGGCACCATTGCATGAAAGTGAGATGGAGAGGGTGAAAGGGGAGGGGCCGTTGGTTGGCACTTAACAAAGAAAATAATTTAMATATTTGAAAATATTGATTAGGATGCCACACCATTAAAAGAAAAAAAAATCACAATATCCATATCAGGGCAGGAATTTAACCATATCGTCAAAGACATTTGGACAATAAAGATAAGAAAGAATCTTTATTTATTTATTTATTTATTTTAGTAGAGAGAATCTTTATTAAAATATTCAAACATCAATATTAAAATTTTCTGGAAATCAATTAACAATTTTACATTTTAAGAGTTTGGAGGAAAAAAAAAACTATGGGTCAAGAGATGATAGATGTATATTAAAGTAGTCTAAAAGGTATGTGCTTGGACAAGGTGAGCCAAAAGGGGTAACAAATATAAGGTTAAAATACTATTTTGGTTACGATCGATTTATTTGGATCTAAATACTTTTAAAATATTCATTGGTCAACTTTGGTTTATTTATTAGTTTTTTATTTTCAAAATAATCGTTTTGATGCTTATATTTTTAAAAAGTGACCATTTTGATTTCTTAGTTTTATTTTTAATTTCATTTTTTATATCACAATTTCAACACGGTACTATACTCAATATATTTATTAAAATGTAATCATTACTTTATACTAAAAAATTTCTGTTATATGAATTTGTGATAAAATTTTACAAAAATGAATTAAAATGATCACTTTTTAAAATATAGATACCAAAATGAACAAAATGAACATTTTGAAAGTACATAGACTAAAACGAACCAAAGTTAAAAGTATAAGGACCAAAATAAACCATCAGAAAATACAGAAACTAAAACGAACCAAGACTGAAAGTACAAGGACTAAAATAGTATTTTGACATAGATAAAAAAACGCTTTTGACATAATTAAGTTGGTCTAGAATTACTTTTTAAACAATTATTTGAAAGTTGATTCTCCAAAAAGTAATYGACTAAGAGTCTCTTTAAAATCTATTTATGATAATTTAACATTTTTAGAATCAATTTTGGATGCAACGTAATTAAACAAATTTGTGACTGAAATCACTTGAGGTGTAATCAGCCTCGCATATTTTAGTTAAAACCATTTTATTAGAAAAGTAAAAAAAAAAAAAAAAGGATGGGGTAACTAGCATAAAATAAATATATTTTTCAAGTATAGTATAAAATTTAGAATTTTACAAAAGTAGCATCATTCACTCAAAGTCTAACCCTTTTCTMATACTCAATTGAAGTCTAACTTAAATGTGAAGTAAACTACACTAAGGAAAGTCAAAATTGTGCTGTATTAAAAAAAAACTTATAATATTTTTAAAAATATATATTAATTTTAGGAAAATATTTAAGTTCTGACCAATGAATGTCTATGCTCACCCATTAAATTTTTTACAAATAAAAAAAAATGTAAAAATAGTAAACTTTTTTTTTTTTAAATAATGAGCTATCAATTTTTTAATGGACTTGTTCATCTGCCTAAATACTTATCAATAAATATCATGAAATTTCTCAAAAATGAGATATATTTCTAAAAAGGGTTGTAAATTAGTAGGCCAAACTCATCCTAAATTTAACCAATCAAAACTCTAATTAAAAGATTATGTAGGACCCTTGATTTAGCCTCCTCGAGTATCCTATTAGAATTTAGAAACTCCTCTCCTATATACTCTCTCTATTTCTTGACCTTATCTACCTTTTTTCTCCATTATTTCCGTGGAGAATACTATAATAATCACCACCATTGTTGTAATGACGAAATGATGACACATCATTGCTAATATCAGAACAAAAGAGAAAAAGACTATATATTGGATTTCAGTATTATTAATCAATAGAAAAAGACTTACCTTTCAAAGCAAACCACCCAGCTCTAGCGGTTGTTGGCTTGGCTTCATCAAATTTACAAGCTTCAAAGCTATTCGAACTCCACTCGGTTGCAATTTTCTAATATCTTTTGCTTGCCGGGTGTGTCATCTCCATATTCCTTCCTATCCTTTTCTCTTCTCTTTTATGGACAAATCTGATACCATCAACATAACTGCAATACACTCCAAAATGTGAAGAAGACGATGAGGAAAAGGAAGTAGAGGCAGATTACACGCAACTTGTTTCAAAATTCAGCTAATCTAGCCATTGCTGTCTCCAACACGTTTGCATTTCAATCATATAATTCCACCTTTTCAACAAAGTTAGCCGGGATTTCTTCCTCTTACAGGCAAAAATCACTAAAGAATGATCTGGGGAATAAAAACAGACCAACCTGAGAGCGCATCTTCTCATCAGCAGTCCAAAGTTTCCTCCATGAGAATCATTCTGGTTTCCTTTTTGGTTATTCAATTCTTTGCTGACTCTGAATGTCTCAGCAGAGCTGATTTTCCAGATGGCTTCATATTTGGAACTGCAGCATCCGCATACCAGGTAAGGAAGAATTTGCAGCTGGTTTTCTTTGCTTGGTTTCTAATTACAATATGAAGAGAGAGAGAAATCAGATTATATTGCATCAAATTTCATGGCAGTTCGAAGGGGCTGTAGATGAAGGAAACCGAGGTGTCAGCATCTGGGATACCTTTGTGAAGGAACCAGGCAAGTTTAAATTTGATACTAGCAAAGCAACACTAATCTGCACAAGATATAATTCATCTTAGAAGTAAAATTGTATTGCTTGTGATGCATTCTTTAGGAAGAATACTGGACTTCAGCAATGCAGACAGAACCGTTGACCAATACCACAGATTTAAGGTGAAGAGAGAGAGAGATTAGTATGTTAATCGAACAACGTATGGGACAGCAGAGCTAAAAGACAATGACAACATGATCCATGAGAATTCGAGAGGATGGAGGATAAGAGTGCCTGATGTCCTATTGTAATCATTTAACATCATAGAGTAGAATAGACATTAAGAATAATGAATTAATGATCAACCAACTGCAGATTATAATAATGGGAAGATAAAGACATCTGTTACAGTTGAATTTATTTATTAGTCACTTTAGGATTCCATTACGTATTGCTAACTAGATTACCAATTATGATCATAAATTATAGGGCGATATACAGCTGATGAAGGATGTGGGAATGGATGCCTACAGATTTTCAATCTCGTGGCCAAGAATCTTTCCAAGTAAGAAATAGTTCCAACTTCCAAGTATAGAAAATAAAACCACCTACGTTTCTCTCCCAACAACATATTATTAACTGTCTTTGAGAAACTCTTTATAGATGGAACAGGAGAACCCAACCCAGATGCAATAAACTATTACAACAATTTTATAGATGCTTTGCTAGAAAAAGGTCATCCGTTAAATCATTTCTCAAGAATTCAATTTTCTATTTGGTGATATATCACTGAAGTATTTTTTTCCTTTAACAAGGAATCCAACCTTTTGTTACTCTTTATCATTGGGATCTTCCGCAAGTGCTTGAAGACGAGTACGAAGGATGGTTGAGCAGGCGGATAGTGTAAGTATAACTCACCAAACTACGTGACATACCATGCCTCAGAAATGATGATCAATTCATAACAAGCTCCATTCTTCATAGAAAAGATTTTGAACATTATGCTGTTACATGCTTCCAAGCATTTGGGGATAGAGTGAAGCACTGGATCACCTTCAACGAACCACATGGTTACTCAATAAAAAGTTATGACCTAGGAATTCAAGCTCCTGGTAGGTGTTCTTTTGTGGGTCATCTATTATGCAAGAAGGGAAATTCATCCTCTGAACCATATATAGTTGCTCACAATATTCTCTTATCTCATGCTGCCGCTTATCACAGTTACCAGAATCATTTTAAGGTACTATAATATGCAAACATTAGTTAACTCGGGAAGCTTCAACATACTAAGTCAAAAGTAAACTAAGAATTTGATGTGTCATCTGTGTTTTGGTTTCGTCTCGTAGAGAAGACAGGGTGGTCAGATAGGAATAGCACTAGATGCCATATGGTATGAACCATTATCTGAAAATGACGAGAACAGAGAAGCAGCACTCAGAGCCCTTGATTTTGAACTTGGATGGTAATTGTTCATCTCCATTTATTAAGTAATGGCACTTGGCCAGACATTAAATGCCAGAAATTTGACGAAACAACCTTGAAAATTTTTCAGGTTTCTCGATCCACTTTTCTTTGGCGACTATCCCCTTTCAATGAAAAGTCTTGTGGGGGAAAGACTACCAAAAATATCACGTGGAACTGCAAAGTTCCTGACAGGAACCCTGGATTTCGTTGGCATGAACCACTACACTTCCTTATATGCTCGAAATGATAGGTTTCGGATTCGAAAACTAATATTCAATGATGCTTCAACAGATTCTAATGTCATTCCCACCCGTAAGCTTCTAAGCGCAATCTTCTTCTCCATATTCATATATTCGCACACACAATTTTGCAAATTGTACATATTGGTATGGCTATAAGTCACAAGTAGAATGTAACCCATCTTTATTCAACAAACGCTCTATTGCAGCACACAGAGGTGTCTCTACTATTGGAGAAAGAGTATGTCTCGAACACATCTGGATCCCAGGAGCTTCACTTATATATTCTACTTGAAGTGAGCTGATATATACTTCCTTTTCCAGGCAGCTTCCCGCTGGTTACACATTGTTCCATGGGGCATTCGGAAATTGGCAATTTATTTGAAACATAAGTATAGGAACCCACCAGTAATCATAACAGAAAATGGTGAGTGATGATGGCTCCAAACTTCAAACTGAAGATTTCATAAAATTTCACACAAGTTTCAACTTGTTTTGATAGGCATGGATGATCCAAACAAACGGTCGATACCTTTAAAGAAGGCATTACAGGATGACAAGAGAATAAGATACCACAGAGATTACCTCTCAAATCTATCCACTGCTATTAGGTGATAACAACTCTGAATACTAACTGCCAATCCTGTAGTTGATGAAATCTCACTGGATTAATTCATGTACGCTAATTCTTTTGGTATCCTTRAACAAATACAGGCAAGAAGGCTGCAATGTTCGTGGCTACTTTGCTTGGTCACTACTGGATAATTGGGAGTGGAACATGGGCTACACCGTCCGATTTGGACTCTACTACGTCGACTACAAGAACAATCTCACAAGGATTCCAAAGGCATCCGTTCAATGGTTTCAGAGTGTGCTCAAATCAGAAGACGAGTAGATGAATTAAACTTGATTTATTGCTCATACATTTGTAAGAATTGTAGTCATATCAGGCATAACAATGTACTCCATATGTCAAAACTGAAATTGAATGAATGATACAATGACGAAATAGGAAGAAAAGCTGGTTGAAGACATGGATTAATGTGCTTACTTAATACGCCATTTTCTGCTCTGGWAATCGATTTCAGATAAGCTGAGATTTGGAACGATCGAAGTACGCTCCGTGAAGTCTTTATCGAGATTCTCCCGCGCATTGTAGTTTTGAGGGAGCAAACGAGAGAGAGAATTCGAGAACTCTCCAAAATGAATTTGCCTGAATAAGCCTCGGGGTAAATCTTATAAATTGAATAATCTTCAGGAACGAATTTCAAACGAGAAAGTGAAATGTCGTGATAAGTTCTGCAATTTTTTTGTTTTCTTTGAATAAAAAGAGAGATACATGTGAATGATTGCTACAATATTCTATTCTAAGTTGAATTATGAAAATAGTAAAGTTGGAGATATATGTTMCGTTAATTATTGATAAACTATACTTGCTTTTGACATAATAATGAATAATTTGCGACATAATAATGATAATTATTAAATTATTTTGGACATAGTTTCAATTTAGTCGTATAATTTTAGAAATTCTAATTAATTCATATGATTTGTGGTTAGTTTCAATTTGATTTCTATAGTATGGTTAAACCTCAGTTGGAATACTATTTTGATCATGTATTTTAGTTATGATTTATTAAATTAACTCTCTACTTTTGAAATATTTGTTTTGGACCTTTTGRTTCATGTACCTTCAAAACATTCGTTTTGGTTTGAGTGTTTTTAAAATGTTATAATTTGGTTTTTGTTTGTAAAATTTTAACACATATTCTACACATGATGACGATCCTTTAATATAAATTTATGACTGCATTTCAAAAAATATATTGAATATAATATTGTGTTGAAATTTTGATCGAAAAGATGAGATAAAAAAAATCAATGACAAAATGGTTCACACTTTTAAAATGACTAAAACGAATATTAAAATACAATAACTAAAATAGACAAAATTGAGAGTATATGATCAAAATATATATTTTATAAATACAATGATTAAAATGAAGCTGAAAATATAGGGACTAAAATATTATTTTATCCTAAATTGCTTATAAACATCTCTTTGTCCATTTGCCAAATATATTGCCCAACTTTGTAATTTAACCTTATGATAAATGATTTATTTTCATTCTTAAATTGTGTATATTTTGTCTTGGCRTGACACACAGACTAATTATGTCATTAATTACTCCTTAGATTAAACAACTTCAGACTTAATAGCTCTATCCATCGTTCCATGAAAATTTTTTTAAATCATAACTTTTATCTTTATCAGTTAAATGTCAAATTCCAATTTACCATTCATTGAGGTTGATAYCGACCAATTATTATCATTGATTGTGGGAGGGTAAAAGAGTAAAGAAAAATAATAACTACATTGTTAAATTCTTTCCCTTGGAAATCATAAATAATTGAGCTACAAATCAACAGTTAGATCAAACTTCCATTTCGATTTTAATGGAGGAAAACAAAAAACAGTTTGTCTTCAACAACTTAAGATCAAGAGTTAAAAATACAACCTTYCATACCAACGAGATTCGTTAAGTTGTTATTTAGTCAAATTTAACGCATTTTGAAATGAATTCTAGCGATGAGAAAGGTCTCTAAAATTAAATGACTTTTCATGAAGGATGAATTCCGAACTTAACACCTGTCATCACTAAAAGAAGTATGRTTATGTATTTCCGAACTACAAGCTCACTCCATATCTTGGATGAAAACCGCTCAACTGCACCACTAACTATTAAGCATATTCTGCACCTAGGATCYCGCAACGATGGTTACATGTACATGATTTTCGAGTCGTTGGAACCACCTCCCTCACCCTTATAAATACCAAGGATAACGGTAATAGGAGGTACATACGAATTCGATTGTCAATTTGAATTTGAAAACGCAATTGAGAATTGACGTAGGCATTAGAGTGCTACTATTCTATTTTGCAATAACTCGATTGCCTATTACTTGGACTTGAGTGTTTTGGTCMAATTTTGACTAAAACAACTTTGACTATAAGTTCATTGGTAAAAAACCAAAAGTTGGTCRAACAATTACTCTACGGGAGAGAAGCTCCCAAAAGAAAATGGTAGTTTAKCCTACATATTTTGATAATGTTTCATAGCAGACATTTAATTTAATAACTTGTCTTAAATAAATTATTGAATTTTGATCACAATTTACTAAGTACTAAACGTTCKGTAAGTGGTTGTGAGTTCGATCTCYCATCCCATGCGAAATRTTTATTTATTTAGTTAAATACCACTTTTTTTTTATGCAATTTAAATAGTACCTAACAAATCAGAAGAAAATTGTATTTTTAAAGTARGAAGAAGAGGGTTAAAATTATTATTTCTTATCCCACAATGAAATCTYCCCTCGTTCCCATAAAAAAAATACAAAAATACAAAATAGCACAAAATGATATATATATATATATTGTTTAAAATTTTATAAAGAAAGAAAAATTACATAAATTACAAACTCATACAATTATAGAGTCCAACCAAAAATCACTTTTGTGACATTTTTATAAAAAATGTATGATATTTTTATAAATATTAAACACATAAATTTTATATATTTTAGAATAATTTCCCAATTCAGAAATATAATATATTTTTTTAGACAATTACACCAATAGCATAAAATAAATATTTATTTTCAAACGTTTTTAAAAAAAGCTTAGAATTTTACAAAAAAATAACATAACTTAAATTAAAATGTCAAATTCTAATATAAAACAAAAACAAATTAAGAAAAGTAAAATTCATGTTATATTTAAACATTTTAAAAATACATATTAAAAATATGTTATATAGTGAAATCTCGAGTTGTCTGATTTATTTAATATTCTTATGTAAATTAATGTGGAATTAAATAGGTTTGGGGAAAGAGAAAATGGAATTATATAAAGGCTTTAAACCACAAAGAATCGCCAAAGCAAAAGAAAAGGAATTCCCAAATCTCAGCCAAACACGCCCTTGCTGAGGAACAAAGCYGATGTTCGACTGCGGATTCGCTGTGTTCAAAATCAAGTAGAGAGCCCTTTGACTATAAATCCCTCAATCTATCGCTCGCTACACATTTCGGCTAATTCCCAAATCCCAACTTTATTCAACGTTGTGGGGTTCCAAAAATACACTCCCAAAGCCCTTAATCTCCACCGCTCTTTCCAGTTTCCCCCTTTTCCCATTCTTAATCACCAAAGTTTCTGATTGCCCCGCGCCAATGGGGTTTCCTTTTCTCTGTTTCCCTCGATTCTGAAAGCTAGAGCAGCCGTTTTTCTCCAAAGAGAATTTAAATATAAAACAAAGTTTCTTTTCGTGTATAAATTGTAATCTACAGCGGCGAATTTCAGGTTCTTTTGCTCCTTCCTTCTTTACCCTCGATAGCTATGAAACGAGGATTCTCAGAATCCCCATCGGCGTCCTTGGGGCCTCCTCAATCCAGATTCAAGTATAACCCAGAAGGTGCCATTCTAATTGGTTTCGTTATATGGTTTCAATTTGTGCAGCACAATCAGTTTTTGGATCTAAACTTTTTGTGGGTTTCAGCTTGTTTACTGGTAGCGAGTGGAATTACTAGCATATATATTGTTTTCGTTGTATTTCAAGTTTGGGATGACTGTAATCGTTCTGGATTTCGATTTTTAGGCGATGCTGAGTTCTTAGAAGATGAAAGCACCAAGATTTTTGCCCGGAAAGTGGCTGAACATTACAGTGCTAGGACGAACCAGACTTTGGAAGAGCGAGAAGCTAGTGTTATCATCCATTTAAAGAAGCTTAACAATTGGGTATGTGTTATATTTGATGAAAATACATTTTAACCTTGATGGGTGATTCTCAATCATATATCATCCTAATGGGTTGCTCATGTCATGTCCTTATTGGATAGATTAAAAGTGTCTTGGTTCAGCTTTATGCTCGCCGAGGAGACGCCGTTCTTGATCTTGCCTGTGGCAAGGTATTATTTAGTCTGTTTAATCTTATATGTGTTGCTATAGTTCGCTCCTGAGCTGAACACTTTTCTTTTGCACTTGCTAGGGTGGTGATCTCATCAAATGGGATAAGGCCAAAATTGGATACTATGTTGGCATTGATATAGCTGAAGGATCGGTAAGTGGAAACTCTTGTTAGAGTTATTCATTTGGCAGTTAATTGAATAATACGAACAGTCTATTTGATTGTTTATCCCATTATTTTTTCTCAAACCTCTGCCTTTGAAATCAGTCATCTAAGGTTATAATGGTGTCTTATTGCAGATAGAAGATTGCCGTACTCGTTACAACGGTGATGCTGACCATCATCAACGTCGTAAAAAGTTCTCATTTCCAGCCCGCCTCATCTGTGGTGATTGTTATGAGGTAGTGGAACTTAGAAGAACAGCTAGTGAATTGAAATCCTCGAACATTCTTGGTTTCTATACTGTTAAGCTTTTTCAATTGTATCAGTGGCCTTTATAGTGATGTTTTAAAGTGGGTCCTGTTTGAGAAATGGATATCACAATTAGCTGTTCACCTGAAGTAGTGTGGATATGATTATGATTTTTGTTAAGCACCGTCTGATTGACCTGAAAATTTGGCGTTTTAGGCGAGGCTGGATCATGTCCTAGCAGATGATGCTCCATTTGATATTTGCAGTTGCCAGGTGAGTGGTATGCAATAATTTATGCCCTTCTTGTTGGGATAAATTAAATGGTTTTTCGGTTTGATATCTACTTTCCGCTATTATATCTTTTGCTATTAGCACTCGAACTCATTGAAATACACCATGATACCCTCAATTATGACTTATGAGGCAGATTCATGGATTTTTCTACCCGTGTGTGTAGTTTTCGTAGTTAAAATTTATGCAATTGGGGATAAATCTGTAGATTCCCCAAGAGATTATCTCAACAAATTCTGAATCTTCCGGTGAAACTAAAACTTGCAGTTTGCGTTGCATTATTCTTGGTCTACTGAGGCCCGTGCGCGACGTGCCTTGGCCAATATATCAGCTCTTCTCCGCCCAGGAGGTATTCTCATTGGAACCATGCCAGATGCTAATGTGATCATCAAAAAGCTTAGAGAAGGTATTTCTCTTGTTTTGCCTTTCCAACTTTTCATCTCACATACCATTGCTGTCCCGAACTCTTCTAGTAATGACATAATACAGTAAGATTTTCATCATGTTAAATCGTCTAGCAATCGAGAGGTTACGTCTGTCTTGCAGATGTTAACATGTTAATCTTTTGCTCCTTGGTTTCTATGCAATAACTTTAAATCATCACTTGTACCCGATGTTACTTATAATTATGGAGTGCATAACTTGCAATGTGATGCTATGTTCTCTCTTTTTAAATTTAAAAATGTTCAACTACTCGTATTACCACATTTTCATTCCCGACTGAACTGAAGTTGCCTTTTTTGTTCTGAATCTGCAGCTGAAGGCTTGACGTTCGGAAATAGCGTCTACTGGATACGTTTTGATGAAGAACATGCAGATAAGGTAAAAACAGACCCCTTTGCTTTGTACACTGCCATAGGCATTGTGGGTTAACAAGTGAAATTTCATATGACAATTATTCTCTTTTTTCCCGRTTCAGAAATTTAACACATCCAGCCCTTTCGGTATAAAGTACTTGTTTCATCTAGAGGTACGGTATCCAACACATGAATGTTTATTCCATCATTAGATAACACACTTATTCCTTGGGGGTATGGCTGAACCATTCGTGTGCCCTTTGGCTAAATTTCTATGTGATTTTGCCTTCACCTGTTGCAGGACGCTGTTGATTGCCCTGAATGGATTGTCCCATTCCATGTTTTCAAATCGTTGGCTGAAGAGGTAACGACTTACTTTGGCTCGAAAACTTACGAATATCTATATGGGAAACCTTTTCTTCTTCTCACCCTCTCGCTACTCTCGAGACAACTATGTTGAGTTTCTAACAATGAACTATCAAATGCAATTTTGGTGTTGTTTACTGAAAAAGTTGATCATTATTTTAATCCGATCATTGTGCAGTATGACTTAGAGCTGGTTTTTGTCAAGAACTCACATGAATTCGTGCATGAGTACTTGAAGAAACCAGAATTTGTGGACCTTATGCGACGACTTGGTGCCTTGGGTGATGGCAACCAGGATCAAAGTAAGTTTTTGGCTGTAAACATTATCTTTTAACTTTCCTTATTCGCTCTGTGGGGGCGATGGACTCATGCCTTCTCGAACACAGGTACATTATCTCCGGACGAATGGGAAGTGGCGTATCTGTACCTCTCATTTGTGTTGAGAAAGGTATCATACCTAAATGTCTCCAACACCCATGGTTTATGTTTTGAGTTTTACCTGTATAATAACCTTAAATTTACTCGAGTGTTGATTTTGAGTGCCTCTTCTTTTATCAGCGAGGCCAACCCGACYGGACGCAGGCAACAAATCGAAGAGACAGAGGGCAAATGCAGATAGCAAAGGGGGACATAATGTACATTTCAACTGATTAATTCTAAAAGTCCCTCCCTTAGCTTCTGGGTGAAGAACTTGCTTGGCTTAATGAAAAGCAACCGAGTTCRGCCCCCAAAACCATCTTTTTTTAACTGTTCTTTTACTGTAGAATACTGCTGATCAATTTTGTATCTTCATTAAAATAAAAATGTAAGATTGAACAGCCTTGCTACTTCAGAGAAAGGAAAAAGAAAGGACTAATATTATAGCAGAAAAGATTTCTATAAATGGCCATTTCAATTCAACTGTCAAGCTGTGAACTTGATACATCTTTTCTCATGATTGYATCAACATTCAACCTATAAATTATGTGTACAAACATTACATATAGTAAAACTCCAACTTTACATATAGTAAAACTTCATAATGTATATGCTTCAAAAGGATCCAGTACTGTCTCAGATCAACACAACAGTAAAAGAGATTCAAAGATTGTAATGTCGACAGATTTATCCAAAAGAACATCATAGTTGACATCTAATTTCGCTTTGCAAACACCACGAGAGCTACTAAAATAGCCAGTCCCATAATTGATCCCACGGCGATCTCTCCCGTGGAAAATCCAGAGCTTGCTTTGTCATCTCCAGAGACTTCAGCTGGTGAGGATCCAAATATTTTATGAAGGAAACTGGATGCTGTAGACAGCATGTCATCGATCGAAGTTTTAATATATGCTAGCGTCTCGTGGAAGACATTTCTCGACTCGTTTCTTGATTCCTCGGCATAGCTCAGATCTAGTGCATCTTCAAGCTCCTCAGATATTTTGTGATGCTCAAGTCCCTTGTCTGCAACAAGTATAATCCCGCGGTTAGAGATGAGAGAATCATGCTTACAGAACTATTGAATACTAAAGTTTTGAACTTTTTCTATCAATAATGAAACCTGAAATCTTACTGGTCTGGTATGAATCGTATGATTGCAAGAAGCTCTGGAGCGCTTCATTTGCCAACATTGCATTCCAGACTTTTGGGTCAGAGGCAATTGAGGCAACAACAGTCTGAATACAAAGAAGCAGTAATCAAGAGAGGGTCCAGACTCTAAAGATCAGACTTCGAATCGAGTTTGTTCAAGAAGCTAAATATTGTTCAAAACGTCTCAGACGCTAGCCCTGCCCAATAAGTATCATACATGAAAGTTTCTTAGAGGAAGGAGTGCAGTAGTTTAATTACCTGAGCTTCAGAACTTTCCTTGAGCAGCCTAAATGCCTGAATTGCATGCAGAGGAACCGAAGTCTGCGACTCAATAGCTAAACAAGACTCAGCCTCTAGTTTACCGTTGGAGGAAGCAATGAGACTTGATCCTGAAAATTCTGGTGAAGACAAGTATACCCTGAAAAAATCAATCAAAACATCAGGAAGAAGCTCTGCCCCACTCAATCCAATTACTGACTGAACCAAGCAAACAGAGCTTAAGGTTTTTTAACTTTCAATATTGTGTCTATCTAGTATTTGTAGATTAACGTAGATTAAAGAATTTGTAATAGATCCTTAAATTTAAGAGGGCAGAAATTTATTAGACATGATTTTGAAAATTAAAGTGTACCTACAATAAACATTTTTAATTACAGAAACCAGATGGTTACACCCTTAACCTTAAACGCCGAAGCACCTATTAGAAATTTTTTTAAAATAAGAGGACTGMATACAGAGAATGCTAAAAGTTCATGTATCAAACTTATAATGCAACCTTCCATATACTACWRAACAATTGTTCTGTTTCTCAGAAAGTATACAATATTTGATCGAAGACCACGACCTAAGCTCGAGAAATGGCACTCAAATTGATTTTTCTGGCAAAATAGCATCAGTCTGTAAAAATTAAGAGCGCAAAAAACAGAGGACAATCCTTCTTCCATTGATATATGGAGAATTTTGATTAAATTTTATCATCTCCAATTTTTCCCTTCTGTGGTTTCTTTTCTTTAACATACACAAATTCTTCCCAACCTAAGGAAATGAAAACGAGCCAATGCGATCCCAAAGTCGATTTAAAGCACAGAATCATTCATTAACACAAGCAAACCTCGAGAGACAAAAGAAATTCACAACATACTTATCCAGTGCCTCCTTCAAATCCGTCGTAGCTTCCTTCGCCTCTTCGAAACTCGGGACGGCCCCAAACACAATCCTCGGTTTGGGTCCAGCGGCTTCTACGGCCAGGCCGTCCTCCCAATTGGCGAATTCCCAGTCATCAATCTCCCATGCCGGCTTCTGCACAGCCTCAACCTCGGAGCCGGCGGCGGCCTTCGCGGGCGGCACCGGTGAAGACGATGCCACGAAAACCGACGCCGGCCTCGATACGCCGCGAAGCAATTGCCCGAACTGTGGCGCGGTCGATGCTCCTCGGACACCGGCGTTAACTGCGCCGGCTCCGGCTATCTTCGCGGCTGCCCTAACAAATTCTCCTCCTCCCATGGCGGTGAAATCAGATAGCCCGAATCAACAATCAACAATAATCTCTCTCTCTCTCTCTCTGAGAGAATCGAAGAGACTTGGAATATTTATTATTTTTTAACCATATTTTTCTTTAATTTTCGTAAATCTTTGCTTTTATTTCTTTTGCCGATTGCAAAAATATGGAGGAAAAATAAGGTGCTTCCCGTTTTTATGCACCCGACTAATCACGTTTTGCCACGTTACTCGAAGCTTTGAACCTTATCTTAGACCGTCGGATTCAGTCTCGTCAGCATGTTAAGAATCTCAGCCGATCAAGAGAAAACATTTAAATATTTAAAATTGAAACAAACGGATGCAATGTTTCTCGATTCATTAAATGAATTCAATGAATATTAGATTCATTAATATCTGTTTTTATATATTTGGTTTTTAGAAATTTTTAAATTTTGTGATTGAGAATTCTGAAAATAATATTTTTATATTTTCAAATTTTAAATTTGAATCATAATTACATTAAATTAACAAATAAAGTTCTTGATAAATATATAATATCATATCATAAATTCATTTTATTTTTGTTAAAAAAACATGTAATATAAATATTTAATTGATAGTTGTTTATAAATATATTATTAAATAATTTTTTAAATTGAGATTCAATTTTTAAATCCGCTACCTAACCTACAAAATATCGAATACAATGATGTTATATCTTTCTTAAATCACACCTTTAGTTATTAAAAGAAAAAAGAAAAATTCAGTTTAAATATGAGATTTATTTGAAGAAAATGAAGATGATTATCAAAGTAGTTACTATGCACTCGGTTGCACACAATATAATCCGAATGATAATATTTGGTTACTAAGCTACACGTGGCAACTGTTGAGTTCACTCTGCACCTTACAAGTTACAAGTAAGAAAATTTTGGGGAGAAGTTTTTGTGATATTAATTATATAAATTATATTTTTGCAATTACTTATTAAGTGGTTGCCAAAAAAAAGAGGGAAAAAATCTGCACAATTTTGCGTTGCCCACCATGATTAAAAAAAATTAAAAACTAAAAATTGAAGGTTAGATTATTATCTCAACCCTACGATGGTTCAAATTTAGGCCATATGCTTTAAGAAATTATATTATAATCCTTATTATTTTTGGTTAAAATTTTCAAAACATTGGTTGCAATAGGGTGTGTTTTCTAGAAATGTGGCAAGGTGTTGTTTTACTGTCATTTTGATTAAAAAGTAACGTTTGTTTTCGTACCATTTTATTGGTAGAATCTAAATCTCAAAGACCAAAAATATCCTTCTTGAAATCTTAAACACTAAATAGAAGTAGAATCCAAAGTATTATGGACCTAAACTGACATTTTTTAAATTTCAATGAATCAAATTGAAATTAAATTCAAATCTAAATAACCAAAAGCGTCGATTTTAAAGTCTCGAGGATCAAATAGAAATTAATTTCGAACCTTGGAGACTAAAAGCATGATTTGCACTAGAAATTATATATTTTTAAGTCTTTTATTTTCATACATAAGCATTAAAATGCAAAAGAAAAGAAAATCATCCATGGAAGGAGGAAATAAAGGGGTATTCAAGTTTAGGGTAATATCCAAAATCATTTCAAAAATTATTTTTTTCYTCACCCAATAAATCTGTGGCTACAAGGACTTCATATTTCATATAAATAGTTTAAAAAGACGGATGGTTTGATAACTATTACGCATACCTTAATTCTTTGAAATTAGGTGAGTACAACATATGATTGTTCAAGAAATTTAACTATTTTTATCCAAAACCAAAATAAATTGTTTTAAAATACATAAAATAAGAGTTGAAGAATTATGTTTGGGGTGGAAAAATCCTATTGTCATGTGGAGGACGGGGATTCGCCACTAAAGAAAGATCCGAAACAAYAAATTTACGGAGCTCCATCTCGGAACCTTCCGAAGTGAAAAACTCGTCATTTCCTATCAAGGATCCACCTGTTGTTTTCGGGAAAGTATTCGAGCTTGATTCGCTGGAGCCCGACACATCCGACCTCAAATCCGACCAAGATAACTGTCTGTCGGAACCTAAACCTATAAATAGAGGGCCTCATTTCACCATCGAATATCGAATTTCTCCTCGAATTTAATATTGAGTCCGAGCTGCTTACTGACTTGAACGTCGAAGATTTTACCCTCTTGTGCAAGTCTTCCCTTTGAGTTTCAGGTTGGAGTTGAGATCGAGTTCGAGTTAATTTGAGGTTGTGCAATTTCTTGCACAAACTAATTCAATAAAAATATCAATACCCTTGAAATAAGTGTAAATGTTCCTTTCATTTGGTTACTGGCCATCGTAGAACAAGGTTATTGATTGAAACTTTGTCGCAGTAAATGTCGAAAAGAAAAATATGATAAAGACAAAAAAAAAATAAAGTGATAAAAAATGGATAAACATAGAGGAAAAATAGGTAAAATTATGAGGGTGAAAAATGAAAAATAATACAATTTTCTTAAATAAAAAAAAAAGAGATAACTAAATAACTAACCTTAAAAAATATACGTTGAAAATAAATAAAATTATTATTATTATTTTTAGTAAACTATGTTCGTTTTGGTTGGGATATTTATCATTAACAAAGATAGTTTGACCATTTGACCAATTTTCAAAATGGAAAGATACGACACATACTACATTTCTCTCTCTCTCTCTATATTAATCCAATTTTGTATCAGAAAAAAGAGATTTAGGTCAGCTGGCCCGGCCCATTTAGTTGGTGGGCTTTCTGTCGGCCTTTCGTCCGATATTTTTTTTCTTCTTCATAGATTTCGATTTTCAACATAATTAATAAAATTATTTATTTTGGAAAAAAACCTGGGATTTTAAGGTGCAGAAACAAGTCAAATGGAAAACGACAACGTTTCGCTTTCTTTAACTGCTCTGGCCCAAAAATCTCCATTATTGAAAAGAAAAAGAAAGTGATATAGAAACTTGACCCTCCASGAAGACAAACCGAACCTAACAATTCTGAATCCGGAGAAGAGAGAGAAATTTGGGATTTTTTTTTCTTTTCTATATTGGTGATTATCGAGACTAGTTGACATGTACCTCCACTAATCTCATGAAACAATGGTCTAACCCTACAATTTTTTTTTTAATTTATTTTGGTTTCTTTCGATCCAATGAACCAACCCATGATATTTAAAATTGAAAAATTTTAGTGGATAAAACTTTATTTATTATTTGCTGCATCAGTAACATTTAAAAGATAATTTAAAAAATAATAATAAATAATTGTGTATGAAAAGAAATTTTATCAAGGGGATTGTTACCCTACAAAATAAAAATATTGTGCATGGATAGGTAATGATTTGGTATTACACCAATCAAAGGGCACATTAGTCATCATTTTCTATATCAAACCATACCCATAGATTAAATATCTAATCTATTATTTGCCCCTCAACTTATTTTTCCTTTATCAAAAGGCTTTTCTTGAAAAAAAAAAGTTTAAATTTTAAAAATGAGTGTATTTAGGGTTTTTTTTTTAAGAAATGGACTAATATTTTAAATATGTAAAGTACAATAAAATATTACTAATAGATAAATTTATCAATTTAGTTTTCTTGTCTAATCAAATTACAAAAAAAAAAGAAAGAAATAATTATATAGGCACGATTAACATTTAATTAGGTAAATATATTTTCAAGAGTGAAAAGACTGAAATAAAACAAATAAATCACAAAAACTAAAATGTGAGCAAAAAAATTAGAATGGAGCCTAAAGAATAATAAATATAAATTGGAATATATCTGATGGTCTTTATTTTTTAAGCTATTTTTAATTGGGTCATTAATCTTTTAAAATCTTTAATTTTGTTCAAATCTATTAAACAACCATCCACGACCTATTAAATTATTATTTTATTCATATATTTCAACCTTTAGACACGTCACTTCAGTGGCTATTTGACCCTGAAATCTAATCCAAATATGTCAATAAAAAATAATTTAATAGCAACACACATTTTTAACTCAAATATTAGTAAATTTTCTAGGGAATAACTTAATTTGAAATTTTTTTAACCTATTATGAATCAATTTGAGATTTTCTTTTTTTAGAAAATTGTTTTCTTAATGCAATATATGAGGGTGAGGATTCAAATTCATAACCTTCTGATTGGAAACACATATYTTAACCCACTAAGTTATGTTCAGGTTATCAATAAAGAGAGTTTTAAARTATCAAAATTGGAAATTGTGAAAAAAAATTAGAAATCACAGCTTAAATATAAAGACATTCGAAAAGAAAGGAAAAAAAAAACATTGATGATGAATGCCAACTAGGCTAGAAGAAAATCTCCAGCATATTATATTTTTTGTGGGGCCTCTAAAAGTCCGGTCCACGTCAACAATGTGAAAATCTCGGCTATTAAAAATCAAACCGTTCTAAAACTCGTAGGCTTTTGATTAATTTCCACTAATACGAAAATGACACATGGCAAACAGTAATTGTGGAGCCCACGTCACAATTGTGCATGTGAACGGTGGGCCCGCCTATACCATCTGTCATTGGGCCCACATTCCCGCGTAAAACAAAACCCTCCAAACCCCACATTTTATCATTATTGATAATAATGCTGAAAAAATCGCATAATTATTAGACCGAAAAAAAAAAAGAGAAACCACATAAATTGAATAAAATTGGACCGGAAGTTACCCAAAATAATTATAATTTATCATTATTGATAATATTGCTAAGAAAATCGCATGAATATATATATTTTTTCTAATTCGACAAAGGAGGGGTATTTTTGTCTCCTAGTTTTTTTTTCCCTCTTTTATATCAACCCTTTAGAAATAAAAATTTGAGCGTATGTCTTTTTAAGACCTCGATATATTGTACTAAAGAAATTAAATTGGGAGATAAATTAGGTCGAGAATTAACAAGTCAAATAAATTGAATAAAATTGAAAATTRCGCATGATTTGATTCCTTTAGTTTTTTTTTTTAATTTCTTTTGTATATCTTAACTATGTTATKATAATTGTGCTTATATATATTTTATTAATTTTTTCTTCATTTTTAACAATTTAATGTGGTATTGAAAACTAGCCRTTAAATGCCTTCACAGTTGCACAAAATAGAATCTACCCTAATTTTCCTTCGCAAAAAAAGAATCAACCCTATTTTTCTAGGCTTTTCAAATTTCCTTTCTTTTTGGTCTTCCAAACAATTAGAAATTAGCCATAATTTTAAACTTGAGAAAATGCAAATGGACTCCTACCTTTTAGTATGCTATTTATGTAGAAACTCTTCTAATTGATCCACGAACCACCAAGTTATGAAAAAGAAGAAAAAAAGTTATTTAATTATTCCTCTATAAACTAGCCACTAAATGTAAATCTTGGTTAATCAATCATAACAAATAAACTGATGAACACAAATAAAAATGAGAGAATTGCGGGAATATATAAATTTAGAGGCGTCAATGAGATATGACATGATTCTATAAAACTTGTTAATTTGATCCTGCTAATATCATCCTATCGCGACAAATTACTTCCTACGCCCTTCACTTAATTATTTCTTTTTGTTATAGCGATACGGTAAAGGTAGCTCCAGCGAAGAGAATAACGATAAAGGTAGCTATAACGATAGAGAATAACGATAAAGGTAGCTATAGTTATAGTTTATATTAGCAAAATACTTCCAATTTCATCTCATAGTGATAACGATAATGGTAAAAATAGAGATAATAACGGTAACAGTAGTGATAATAACGTTAGCGATAACCATAACAATAGTTTATATTTGCAATATACTTTCAATTTTTTTTCTTGATTCCTTAGTTTTCTCTTTCAATTTTTTTCCAASTATGATTCCTTATTTATCATTTAAAAATTTTCAATTCTGATTCTTTATTTTTCTTTTAATTCTATCGCTATCTCTATATTTATCTCTACTACTTATATCTATACTTATATTCATACATCTGCTTATGTCTATATCTTATTTTTCTTTTTCAATTTTTTTCCAACTCGAGGTAGGAGGTAGAAATACAGGTCGATATAGAGATAGATATACGAGAAAAAAATAAAAAAAAATAATTAATGAGTATTTCGAGTTGGTAAAAAATTAACTCAAGATTTTGATTTTAAGACCAAAGAAACAAAACATTAAAGTGAACAAATAAAAAATGAAATAAAATTAACAGCATAAAAATTACGTTATTACTTGGAGAAATTTGAGAGATTCGAGTTTGAAAAAATTAAATCCAACAAAAAAAAAGAATAAACGGTAAATAAATAAAAATGAGATAAAATTCACCAATCAAAAAGTAGCCACAAAATATGGAGAACAAAAGTTTGAAAATTATAAGTTAAGACTAAAAAATCAACTCAATAGAAAATTAAAAAAAATAATAATAATAAAGCACAAAGTCATAATAACCAGTTTTTCAAAATATAGTTATATTTCATTGACAGCCTAAAACTAAAGTGGTCCGGTACAATTTCCTCACTAAGGATTGATTATTCTTAAAAATTAAATTAATACAAACAATCGAAATATATGCTTAAGTAAAACATACCCTCTCCAATATTTTATTGATGATGATATTAAGGAATAATAGCATTTGAATTGACGAAAATACCAAAGAAAATAAATAAAATTGAGAAGGACCCACATTTTTTCTTAAATTTTTAATCCAAAATATTAATATTGAACAAAAGAAAGAGACAAAAGCGTATTATAGAGCATGAGGAGATTTGATCCTTTGCTTTGGTGGAGAAGTTTTTAAGGACAAAAAAGGAATCRTAAAAATCRAAACGCTTCCAAAATAAAACACATCCAAACACGGCCTTAAGAAGATAATAATTAGACTACAATATCCTCTCTTTTTTCTTTTTGTGAATTATTTTTASAAATATTAATTAGAAAAGTAAAAGGGCATTGAAAGGAGYTTTTGGACGGGATSGAACCCACAATCTTTTTATGCTAAAATCTACTCGTCTTATTCATTAACCATTGTGTCTTTAGTTTTTTAAATTTATGTTTGCTTTTCTAACATTTATTTGTTATAGTTTAAATCAACTACTATTTTRGATTTCGAGGCCTTTGTACCATTAGCATAAAATAAATACATATTTTTAAATATAACATAAAATTGRAAATTAAACAAATATATAATTCATACTCAAATTCAAATGTAACATAAAATAAAACAATGAGAAAAACCACACCTATGAATTTCGAAAATATATGAAAAATGTTTGATCTATGCTATTTGGAAAATTATTTCAGAAACAATTTTTTAATTTTATTTCAATATATTGATTTGAAAACTCTTTGAAAGACATAAAACATTACATGAACAATGAATACGTGGTTTCTCTCACATACTAGAAGAAAAAAAAATTACTTTTAAAAATTGTTATACAAAAACGTTCTTATTGAAATTTTGTTCTAATAAAAAAAAAAAACCACTTTTCAATTTTCAAAACACCTTTTAATCCATCTTATTAAAATTTCAAAATACTTTTAATAAATGTCAAGAAATAAAAAAAAAAATCTTACAATTAACGGTTTGTTTAGGCATATTTTTTTAAAAAATGTTTAAAAAATCTAATTTTTTCTTTACTGCCAAACGGGGTAAATATTTTTAATAAATGTTGTTAGTATGCTAACCACTAACAACACTCTCAAGTATTTTTTTCACTCAAAGAAAAGTGATTTTATTTGAAAGATATATTGAAAAAAAAATCCCAACCATACAACAAAATAGTTAAAAAAACGTAACATAATTAATCTCAAAATTCCACCACACAAAGCTCTTCATTATATACTAAAGTGTGACAAATTAGAATTATTACATTAAAATGATATAAATACAAAAGTTGGAAGCTTAAGTTTGACAATTCTTTTTTTCTTTTTTCTTTTTTTTTCCCTCTTTCTCCTCATCTTAGAGATTCAAAGCCTCTCTCCTTCCTCAGAGGATTCCTCAATGAAACTGCAGAATCAGACACAAGAAACCCAGTTAGGGAAAAAAAGCTACAAAGGAAACAAAACCATTTAATACTAAACAAAACAAATCTCTCTCTCTATAAAATAATGATCTTGAGGTATGAAGTTCCCCATGTTTTATTGTCTATGAGTTTCAATGACAGTTGTTGGGAATATAAATTTATGGGAGTGACCAAATTTTGATTCAGAGAGAAGAAAAAGAAGAAGAAGAAGCCAAGAGAAGAGCTGTTAATTGTGATGGAGAGAGAGAAACAAAAGAAGCCATTAATGAGAAATGCTGAAAGATGGGGAGAAGAAAAGCCATCAATTTAGAGAGAGAGAAGGAGCTAAGGCAACAAACAACTGTTAGTTGTGAAAGAATGTAAAGAGAGATATTTAAAGAAGCCATTAATGAGCAAAAATAATGAAGAACGGGGAGAAGAAACCAAGGGAAAAACAGAGGAAATAGAACTAAGAGAAGCCATTAATGAGAAATATTATGAAAAATAGGAAGAACCCATCAATTTAAAGAGATCAGAGAGAGAGACAAATAAGAAGAAGAAGAAACCAAGCAAAAACAGAGGAAAAACAGAACCAAAAGAAGCCACAAGCCAAGGCAAAAACAGAGGAAATAGAGTACTCAAAAGAAGCCATAAGCCAAGGAAAAAACAGAGGAAACAGAACCAAAAGAAGCCACAGGACAAAAACAGAGGAAACAGAGCCAGAAGAAGCCATAAGCGAAGGCAAAAACAGAGGAAACAGAGCCAGAAGAAGCCACAAGCGAAGGCAAAAACAAGAGGAAACAGAGCCAAAGGAAGCCATTAACAAGAAACGAAGAAAAACAGGGCAAAACCCAGAAACCCATTGAAGAGAAACAAAGCAAAAATCCAGAGAGATCTAAGGAAACTACCTTGAGGGTTACAATCAGGGGGATCTTCAAAGAGGGAGAGAGAGAGCTGTTTATGGGCGACGCCAATGTCGATGAGAATGACCCCAGAAGTGGGGTAATTGACGATTATGTCCTTAACCGGAAGCCATAGAAAGAGCTCTTCCTGGGACAAACCCTGGACTCCGATCAAGCTGCCGTAGGAGAGATTGGCGCTGAAAACAGAGTCGAAAATGACTCTGTTCTCGTAAGTGGCCATACATGGGGCATCCAAAAGCACCTCCAGCCGCCCATTTTCAGCCACCGTGTACGACTTCACTTGCTTCGGCACCAGCCCCGCCGGCAGCCCCATCGACCGGAGAAGCTCGTGGACCGACGATTCATCAGAAATCGATGAAGAAGAAGAAGAAGAAGAAAAAAAACCCACCAACAAGATTATTGAGGAGATCCAGTGGCTGTGGCTGTGGCTGTGGCTGCCAAATAAGGCCATGGGCTCAATCTCAGAGAGAGAGAGAGAGAGAGAGAGAGAGAGGGGTTTATGGGCTGTGGTTTTTGTGTGAGAGAGAGAGGGATTTGGGGAAGAATGGGATGGGAGGGGTGGGAAATTACGGTTGTGTCCTTGGTGGTATCTTTTTGAGTTTGAGTAAGGATCTAAATATTGGGGGATTTCTTTTTCTTTTTCTTTTTTTTTTTTGAGTATCTATTTGTGGTTTGTGGGATGTGGACCTAAGTTTTTAGATATTTTATTTTGGCATTTAAATAGTTTCGTCAAACTTGCTAGTACTCTTGACTGTTGTGTAAAATATTCCAATACTACCCTCGACTAACAATTTCAATGACAGTATTATCCCATGAGTAAATTTAAGGTTTAGGGTATAATATACTGATTACCTTTCTTGAAGTTGAATATTTAAGGGAAAAAAATATTGAGGTAATTGAAATTGAGTTCTGAGTTCTTAAAATCATTGGTATACTACTTGCCGTTGCAAGTATGAGGTATGATGAAATTTACAATGATAATTGTTGAAGCTAAATGTTATTAGACGAACAAATTGAGAAGAAAAACCCTCATTTTTAACTTTATATGTGAGCTTGAGGAGTTATCTTTTAACCATAGGCCTCACCCTTGTTCGAGGTGGGGGAGCTTGAGAAGTTATTTTGCAAGCACAAGCACAACCTATCAAGCTTTAGTCTCGATGTTAGGGAAGTCTATAGTTAATTTTAAAAACGAGTGGGAAGCAATTTAAAGAACATAGCGTTACATTCACGACGTTCAATCTGGTCCATTCTTTAATGTATAGAGATACAAACAAAGTATTAATTAAAACTATATTTAAAGAGTATTTCAAAGTAAAGACGYAATATTTTTCTAATAATTCGAAAATATCTGAGCTTATATGCCACATGGGATATGAAAATGCTCGAGAACATGGTCTAACTATTTTACATSGCTAATGTGTTTTATTTATGTTTGTATGTATTTGATAATTTTCTTAGCATTTAATTTAGAAGGACATGCTCTAGTGGTAGATTGGTCTAAGCTTACACCTATTATTCCGAAAGTGAAACACAATTAAATTATTTTTCATCAAATTAAAAAAAAAAGGAAAAAAAAACTACAATGCAATGAAAAGTCAAGGATGAATTAAAAAGAATAAAAAATGGGATCCAACAAATTGACACAAAAAGGGCATTTTGGTCAATCGAAATCCGAACCAAAACCAGGGCTACAGTGGGAAACGGAGAAAATAACGGCACATCCGGCAGAGGAAAAGACGGGAGACGAACGGCGAAGCTTGTCGCCTAATAACAAATTAAGGACCTCAGGGGAGGGTAAAACGGTCAAATCATACCTACAAATTTTCCTTTCGTTAAATTCCATCTGTCAGTGTACTTTATTTATTTTAATTAATGTAATTTTAAAATCTCATTTTCGTCGTTCTATTTCTTTAGCTTTTTGTCAATTTTAGTTTCTCCATTTTTTAAATGTCAAACTCGGTCCCTATGGGATCGTTTTATTTCATTCATTCTCTTTTATCTTTTTTTTTTAGTCACAATCCTAACACGTGTTTCATATTGTATATAAAATATGTATTAAATTTTTACGAATATGAACTAAAATAGTTACTTTTTAAAATTGTTGGGACAARAAATAGTGTTTTGTAAGTAAAAACTAAAGTTAATCAAAATTGAAAGTAAAAGAATTCCAATAAATATTTTAAAAATCTAGGAACTAAAGTAAACCAAAGTTGGAAATACAGAGAAAAAATAGACATTTTTTATCATCAATTTTGAAATGGTGTCTAATAAGCTACGTTTTTTAAAAAAACTCTAATAAATTCTTAAATTTTAATACTGTTTCTTTTAATATATCTTTAAACTAAACAAAAGTAAAAAAAAACAAAAGAGTAAAAATAATATTGCATAAATTTAAAATTGAGAGACACAAAGTTAAAAATTGAAATTACTACTAAATAGAAAAAAAAAATCAATACAAAAGTCAGAAACTCGAATTCATGATTTCCCGATCGATAGAAGCAAGTGTTATGTTAGCAATAAAAAAATTTAAGATTAATTAGACAGAGTTTTAATGGTAAACCAAGAATTAAAAAAAGAAAAACTTTTTTTTCCCTTGTGAGTGGAAGGATTTTGTAGCGGCCAATCCCTAAAAAGATTTTTTTTTTCTTTTTTTTTTATTTCCAAAAGAAGGCATTAAAAAGGGCGTTATTTACGATAATATGCCACTGTGAAGTCACGCGCGCACTTTGGAGAAAAGGATAACAAAACAAAAGGAAAAAAAAAAGATTTTTCATTTTCATGGAGGGTAATGATGATACGGTTACCTGATGGGGACGGGTGATGGTGACCGTAGCGAACTGATTTGACGCACGTGGACCGAGCAGTGGGAGGACACCTGCGGTTCGCGCATTGGAGCGGGTGAGTTTAGCAAAGGCATTGGACCGCCGGTCCAGAGGAGGAGGCCACACTAATCTGGTATTAAGAAAGTAATTAAAAGCCGTTAGGAATGTTTAAGGATTTGGACAATCTGTCTGTCTCTAAGAAAATTAGCATAAAACACAGAAAATGGAAGAGAGAGAGAGAGAGAGAGAGAAATAAAGAAGCTTTCTTTATTTATTAATCCACAGAAATTTAGAGAGAGAGAGAGTCTTTCAAGAAATATTATATGTACCTAAATTTCGAGAGTCGTTTCAAGAAATATTATATGTACCTAAATTTCGAGAGTCGTGTTTCAGTTATTGAATTTTAAAAAAAGTGTCTAATAAATTTATGAAATTTTAATACTGTATTTAGTTACTCTTTGAACTTGAGGATGTTTGATAAACGTTTGAATTTTCAATTTTATAAGGTAGGTCATTCAATTTTACAAAATATCTTATAAATGAGAGAGTTAATAGACATTAAGAAATTTGTTAGGTACTTATAAAATTCAAAGACCAATTAAACGCGTCATTGGAGGTTTGGAAATATATAAGACTTAATAACATATTTAATGCAGCTAGCAAAATTTGAAACTAAACTTATAATTTATCTCAATGTAATTAATATGGGATGATTCAAAACCACTCTTGTTTGGACTAGTAAAAAAATGCATAGACTGGCAATTTTCAAGATCTTGACTTTCGTTGATTTTTTGTTTTTGGAAGAACAAAAAGGAAAAAAATATTAATTTTGAGGAAAATGAGGAAGAAAAATTACAGTTATTTAACGAAAGATTGGAATAAGATGGCTTGAAGTTCTTGATTGGATGACATATAAATGTCACCTCGTTAAGAAACAATATTTAAGCAAAAATTTTGTTGAATATTTTCGATAAATTAGGGTAAGATGGACAGGAAAGAAGAAATTAAAAAAGAAAAAGTAAAAAATGGATAATGAAAGAAAACATATTATATATACACAGTATTGGAATTAAATCAATGATCCATTAAATATAAAATTGAAAGTTTAATAATTTGAACACCACATTTGAAAGTTTTGATAAAATTTATAATTTAACCTCTATACTATATATATATATATATATAATTCAAGCCTAGATTAAGAAGATAAAAATGTATAATTCCATCTCTTATCCTTATTAAATAAAAAGGAAAAAAAAAAAGAAAGAAAAGAGAACAGTTACGAGGAACAACAGGTGTTTGAAGGGACAATGAAGATTTGAAGTGGTTGACCGTTGGTTTTGATAATGGGGTAGAAACCTGTAGTGCAGTGCAATGTCAGATCTATCCACAAATTGGAGAATCTAAAGGTTAAATACTCAATTCCCACCCAGGGATATATTAGAATAATTTATAATTTTAAATCTTAAACTTGCAAAATTGTGAGCTTGCTAAATTTAAGTCTCTAAATATTTAGATTTATATCTATTTAGCTCATCTAGTTAACAAGATGGTTCGAATCAAATAAACATAACTCAGAGATGAATGAGCATACGCTGGTCCGATAAGTCAAGGAGAAACAACCACCGCTTGGTTTTGACACTCAAGTGACCTAGAATTAGAAGTTATCCCGTTTTGAAATAGTATTTTGTGTAATTGGAGTTGAGAAGAGAAATCTATGTGATTGTGATAATTTGTCAAATAGTGCATTTTTCCTTGTGGACTGTGATTGGAGTTTTTCATGAGTGTTAAATGAATTACCATCTAAGACTTTTTAAACATAAACTTACCCATTAAAAATTTAATGAAGACTAAACTAATAAGAAAAGAAAATTGTTCTAATGATAAAAAGAACATAAAAAAAAAATCATCGAATCCTCTCATTGATATTTATAAAAGTAATTAAAAATAAAATGTATATATAAAAAAACAATTTCAAATATAAACTCTTCAAAATATCATTGATATTTATAAAAGTAATTAAAAATAAAATGTATATATAAAAAAACAATTTCAAATATAAACTCTTCAAAATATCTATACTATATATAAATGGAGTTATGGAGGAGAATTTTTGTCTTCTATTTTTGCCCTCCACTTTTTAATAAATACCTATTTTATCCTTAAACCTGTCGTGGGATGCAACTGTTGAGTCGATGTGTCTGTTGAGAGAAGCGGTGTGTTCATTTACATATGGGTGCGATTGAGATTGATAATTGTTTATATATAACACAACAGGTCGTTGTATTTTTTTAGATAGATAAGTTAATCCAAGAGGTGTGATTTGATGAAATAATATATCAGTTCCCAAATAGGTATGATTACAAACATCTATATAGCATGAAAGAAAACATCATGCATAAATTGTGTATTTTTTATCCCTCAAAATGTCTATGAAGTCTTTTCTCTTGCAGAAAAATCAAAACTAAAAAAAAAATTAAAATTAAAAGTTTTCGTTATTTGCAAAGGAAACACTAAAAATACGAGTATCCATAAATCTATTTGATTTGATGATGATGTAGAGTATAAAATTACATTTTCATAATTTATTTTAGTTTTGTTCGTATTCTTCCTAATATAAATTCTTGATTGTTGCTATTATGGGTCTTTGACTACTTTTAAATTCCTTATTTATTTTTATATTTATGTCTTTACTAACTCACTTGAGTTTCTAAATTGATGAATTAGTTTTGACCAATAATTTATGTATTGTGATCATCTTTGAGTACTTGAAAATGAATATTTATTACTTGAATTGTTAAATTAATTATTTTACATATTAGATTACTGTGTTAGTTTTCATATTATACTTATTAATTCGACTTTTGATTTCCTATTTTGCCATTTAAAATTTCAAAAATTTATATGTTGTCCTTTGATTTTTGATATGTATAACTCCCCAGGAATTTCAATTGCGCTTATATTCATCACTGTTGACAAGAACAATTATTCAAATAAATATGTCCGTTGAGAGAAGTTAATCCCATGGATGTAATTACATAAAGAAGAGTGTTACCATCCACATATGGTGTGATCTAGAATCCAATATGAAGCATCACAATCAAATGGTAGAGATGTATCTATAGAGGATAGAGTATGTCTCTTATTTTGCCTTTTAAATTTCTGTAAATTCATATTTTAGTTTTTTAAACATCATTTTTAATACAATTGAAAAATAAACATTTAATTCCACGTGCATTACACATGATTATTGCTAAAGACATGGCTGTTCGAGTTAAAGTGTATGTTGGGAGAATTAATCCAAAAGAATTGTGACCATTCGATGAAACAAGAAATTAATCCAAAAAGAGTTGTGACTGTCCAAGTGAAAATGTGTGTTGAGAGAAGCTAATCAGATGACGAGTGCAACTGTTTGATGAAATAATGCCTTCATCCACATATAGGTTTCATAACCAATCATCTATAAAACTAAAGATTATATCCTTTTCTTCTTTGACCTAAAATTCATTTTCAAAACATCAATGAAGATTTTTTTCTTCATCGGTGAAAACTGAACTATGTCAAAAAAAAGTATTTGAGAATTCACAAACTTATTTAATTGATTGATAGGTAAAGTATACCATTATGTGTTACATTCCACTTTTAATTTTTTTAGATTATTTTAATCTTTTATGTATATTATTTTAATGTTTTTATGTATATTACTTTTRGATTATATATTCATGATACTTTCATATTTTAATATTTATTTAATGTTATTTTCAAGTTTAATTTAATATTTAGTTAATGTTGTTTTGAAGTCTTAAAATATATTCATGTTATTAGTTTTTCTATTTATCTTTATATAACTTATTAATGTTGTTCTTATTTTATTTTTCTTGGTCGTATGATTAATAGTACCATATCATGGTAATAAGTAAACAAATTTGGTAGAAATTCCTATTTTAGTAATATCTATTTGGTCAAGGGCACTACAATTTACCATACATGTTGCAAATTTGTCTTTTGAAATCTGTTGTTCAAATAGTAAAATTTCTTAAAACAACCTTTTTTATCTTTACTTTTATGTTTTTAGATTTTAAATTAGAAACTTTAAAATGCATAAGTTTATTAAAAAAGATAAAAATTTTCTTAAATATAGGTAAAACATGTAGAATATAATAGATTATAAATTATATAATATTGTAAAATACTTATGTTACAAAATTAATAAATTAATTAATAATATTTTAGAATGAACCGAGTATTAGTTGACAACTACTAGTAGTTTACAAATATACTATTAAACACTTTGAACCAAGTTTAAAATTGATATTCGATTTCTAAATCTGCTACTAAATACATGTCCGAAAACACTTAAAACATGGAATCCAACCCTATTTTTCGTTTTTAGATCACCAACTAATAGCACCCTAAACACCTATTTCATTAGGCCATTTTAACTTTTAAAATCTCAACTCAATCCATCCTAAAAAAATTAAATTTCATCATGTCTAAGTCCTTGTCCTATCATCCATATTCAAACTTCTTCTAAATTACTGAACATAGAACACCTGATGTAGTACAATATCTAACACTTTGAACAAAATCTATAGTTAAAAAAATGTAGAGAGGTCACACCAAGCATCTACTAAAAGCACTTATTACTATTCTAAAAGTTGATAGTTCCATTCCACCCCACAATTATTGAAATTATATATATAAAAAAAAAGTAGAGAGAGAACTGAGACGTGTTGGGAATGGAAACTCCTCCCTTTTTTACTCGCACAAAATGACAGTACCCCAACTCCATTAAAAAAACTTAAAGACTTTCACTCCTCACGGGGGGTCAAAATCTAGACTTCAAACTGCAGCATTCCCAATTTAGAAGTATTATGCTCTGGTTTGCAAAAACCAGGATTCATGAACATTCTAGGATAAAAAGACATGGCTAAAGAATCACTCAAACATCCAAAACTAATCTAAATCTCCTCTGTATGAACTATGAGGTTTAAGAATGTTTGAATACTTGTAAAAGAACTGTTCTAAACCTTACATTGATCAATGATTCTCTAAGCTACAATACAAGGTCACATCACGATACAAGATTTCTTTTCAGGATCAACTACAGCACAGCATGTACATAATTCCAAGAACAGTATGAAATTCCCTGGACTACCTCCTCTTCATTCTGCATCTTTCTTAATAGTTTGAAGTACAGTTTCAAGTCATACACTAATGAATTGCAAAGGAGATGAACACAAACATTCTATTTTCCCATGCAAGCATTTCAAATAATAGAGGGAAATCGCAACACTACCTTATCCGGAATTTTCCGTTCTGGTTGCTTGTGGTCTTGGCTTTCGTTGTTCAGGAGGACCATCCTTTCGTCTTTCATATCTCCTACTTTCATATTTCGATTCTCTTCGTTTCTTTGGTTCATAAACTGGATACTTGGATGGAATTATCTCCCCATTAATATACTTGTCACCTAAAATTTAACAAGAAAGTGGAAACTAAGATACTCAAGAAGCACCTAATCCTACGGTTATGTTAACAAATGACAATGCCATATTCCAGAAATAGGGGGGAAAACAGATAAAGAGTGAGGAAAGAAACCCAACCTCCATAATCTTTGTTCTTGACATCAATATATGAATCTGGCAACACCCACAGAACTCCTGGCAATCCTGCAACAAAAGTTTCAATTGGCTTCTCAGCATAGCTGTTATACAGGACTTCCAAGAAAATGTCATAAACTACCACTTACCCTTAAATTTCTCTGATGTTTCTTCGGATACTGTGCATTGGAATCCAGTGTAAGTGGTGGTGCTGAAAGCATACATGTTCTTCTTAGCTTCCTCCATGCTGTTTCCAAGTAAACCCACACATGAGAGATGAAAATAACCTCGACCAACAATTTATCACAATCCTAGAATCCCCACTTCAAGTTTTTTCAGATTATCCAGACTCTAAAAAATTAAACAAGAGCTCCGGAACAGAGAAACAGATACAACAAGCACAACAATCTTTCACTTCAACAATGAAATCAAGACCTCCCCAAACTTCCATCTGTTGCCTAGGGCGTATAATACACCCATTTCTCCAATATCTAATATGTTTCTACTTTCTACAGTTAATTTTTCAAGTCGGACTTTCAGCCTCCAAAAAGGATACATGTCCAAGTAGAACAAATGCCATCCTCACACACACATTCGAAAGGGAAAACGAACACAGAGATACAGAGAGAGGGAAAACGAGAGAACCTGCCCAAAACAGTAGCAAGGGTGTTGAGGTAGGTATCAATCATCTGTTCTCTAGTGGGAGCAGGATCCTTGGGGAACTCCATGACAATAAGCCAATGGTTGTAATCACAACCAGGCAACATAATCGTCTCCCTCTGCTCATTGCTGCTACTCCTCTTCGACGAGTAATCGCTATCCAGAGCGGCTCGCACCAGAAGCCCCGATCGAGAGGCGGAATGGAGGCGGGCACTCGAAATCCGACTCACTGAGTTGAGATTGAGAAAGTGACCGAGTTGCGCGCGTGGTAACAGCGAGGGCTTCTGAAGAGGAATTAGGGATTGAGGAGAGAAGGAGAGATTGGTCGCCATTAGCATTACAGAGAGAAGAGACGAAGAAGATAGCGAAAATTGACGAAGAAGATGAGGTTTCGGTAGGGGATTGGATTCTGCTTTTATGTTTCGGGAAAGAGATATTTTTGTTAACTTTTGGGCCGTCTGGACTCGGCCCATATAGGCCCACTTCCCGTTCATGGGCCAACGAAGAATTTCAAGCCCAAACTCTACTTCTAATGGGCTATACTTACTTGGGCCCTGGTGGATTATGGGGATTACTATAGAAGAACCTATAGATTATAGAATACACTTTTCTTAAATAACATAATTATACACCCAGTTTAGGCTGATTTTGATCTAGCTAGAAACTGCAAAGATCGAGTTCTAATCCGGTTTGGAAGTGCACTTGGTGAGAAAGACATGTATAAGAGAAGCAAATACTATGATGCTCAAGTAAGTTGAGGTTCAAATTTAGGTATCAAGACGAGCTTAGATTATGCACCTGATGTCATGATGGTGCCTTTCATTTATAGGGCTGAGAACCCATAGAGCCATCCGACGGTTAGTTACGCTTGTCGAAAAGTTTGTTACTTCGGCTTGTCGGGTGCGTAAGGTTGGAGCAGGGCGACATTCTCGACTACGAGTTCACCGAGTTCACAAGTTTACTTTCTAGAAAAAGTCAAAGTCTGAAGGTTGGCCGCTGTGTGCCTCCGAACTTCTAGAAAAAGTTCTTGTTCTCAGACTTTTCATTGTCCTCCACGTGGCAATGTTGTTTTTATCCTCCAACACACTATGAATTTTGTTACTTTGAACTTTATAAAATTTCAATTATATCCCGAAACTTTCAATTATGTTCCAATAACAATGGTTACATTTTCAATCATGGTAGTTAAGACTGTTATTTAAATGTTGGACTTGACATGTTGGATGATAAAGGTAGACCAAATTTTTTTTGTTAACAATGTATTTCCACACACCTGCCTACCAAATCATTATTCATTACTTGTTGATATTTTTGTAGTGTTACACTACAATAATTTTCTTTTCTAGATGATCTATCAAGTTGAAGAGATGGATAGAAAAAGTAGTCCTATCAATTTTCGCTCGTTTCCTAATAGAAGAATATATATATATATATATATATATATATATATATTTGTTCGAGAGGAGGAGATTGATGGTTCAATAGAACGACACTAGGCGTTTCCAACATAATAAATACTTTATCTAGACATACTAGATAAAAGCATACTCTTGTTGTCAACCTTGGGTGGATGAGCTGCATGAATATTCGAAACAAGCTAGATACAAGTGTTACTTTGTTTGAGAGGAGGATTGTTGAGATTGCAAGATATGCAAACAAAGTTCCACATTGACTAGGGAAGAGAGTGATCCATTATCTCTATTGGTATAAGATTTTTTTGGGTGAAACTAAAACAAGTGGTGAGGGTTATGCTAAAAGCAGACAATATCTCCAAGTTAGATATATATGGGCTAAACCTAAAAAAAAGTTTGACTTAATTAAAAGCTTTGATGTTGAGTACTACCTATTGGCATACAAACATTTTAATTAGACAACTTTATTTATTGTTATTTATTAGGATAAATCGAACTTATAATAGACTAACATATAAAATAATATCAGAATTAAATAGCGAAAGCTTAACAACTAACTTTAGAACCCTACTTTGTTTTCCTACCTTGTTTCCAGGTATTAATTCACTAACTTAACAGTGACTTTGACAAAGGCAACCAGTACATTAACAACTAAATCGAGTCACAAACGACAATCAATTATAACTGATCACCCCAATATATGTGTAGTCAATTTTTATTAGCTAGCACTCAACAACATGAATGATAACGAAATGGGGTATCTGCTTTAGAAAGGCAAAGATCTTAAAACCCTAGCTAGGGTTTAATAACCAAAAGCACTTTGAAAAGCAGCAAAATAATGGAGAAAATGATGGGGAAGATGGTGATGGTGCATACTGAGGCCAAAGTGCCACTTGCAAACCTTTCAGGTTAAGGGAAGGGGTAGAGTTGTCTTATTCAGTCCCTTTATTGCTTTGCTTTGTCTTCCATCTCAAATGATCAAATGCATCCATATCCCATATGTGGTCTTATTGTATAGTATGTTTTAAACTTAGTTTTGAAATTGTGTAATCCAACTAAATGGTTGAGTTTATATAAGTTTGATTGTTTTATTTGAAAGTTTTTTTTTTCCCTAATAAGTAATAGTGTTTCTTTCTGTACAATAGATAATTGGAGATCTATTGAAATTAATGAATTTCCACAGTTGCCCCGTCTAGTTAATAGGGTGAGTAATGTAATAGAGTTTCTACAACGGACGACATGAGTGAGAGTCCAAACCATAGCGACTTTAGAATTAGAGATAATTGCTTATTCGTTAAGGGGAATTAATGCTCCAAGTCGAATAGAGCTTACAACTTTCAATATATTTTTTTCGGTAGGTACTAATGCTTTAAGGAGTGTCTAATAAAGGTACCAAACTTCCAATGTTGTATGCAATTGGTTTTTGAGCTTTAAAAACTATGGTTCATAAATCAAAAATTTATTAGACAAAATAAAAAATTGAGGGACGACCTAGTATTAATCTACAAAATTGAAGATTTTAAAGGATCTATCAAACAATATTTTTATAAATTTAAGAATCTATTCCACGCAACATTGAAAATTTTAGACTAATTAGAACTTTACATTATAAAGTTCGGACCTATTATACTTTATTAGGACCCCCTTTAATTTAAGTACCTAGATTAATTTATAACTTAAACTTTTCTAGGTAATATCAAATGAGATAAGTTTTAAGGAGAATCTCCATTCCCCTACAAAAGTTCTCATATAGGAATTTTTTTTATCCAACCTCTACTTTTCTTTTGATATGGACCAAAAATAATTTTTCTTATGAGTTCAATGTATTGGATATTCGAACTTTAAACCTTCCAACTCTTTGGTGCAACATGTTCTTCTCCTTTCTTTTACTCTTCCACTCCACTTGTCTTGTTGCTTGGAAAATATTTCCTTTTTGTTTGTGGGAATTGGTAGGCTTTTTTATGTCATCTACCATTCCTTTCAACAATTATTTATCGCAAAAATGAAATTCGGTACATTTTGCCAACGAAATTCTTGTATAATAACCCAAGGCTAAAGACTACTCAAAAAAAGTCTACAAAAACATAAATTTGTGGATGATAATGACAGCGCAATACTAATAATACCCATAACACATATCCCTTTCCAATTCCATTTACTAGTAAAGGGAACCATCACTAGGACCGATGATCATCCAACCTCATACGAGATGCCCCTTTGAAGATGGGTGTTATTTCACAGCCGATGTTGGCTAGAAGTACTCTCTATTTTGCTATGGAGCACCCTTTGACGTTCCAAATCAATAATATTGAGTTTCATATCCTGTTACAAATATTCAAGATATAGAGATAGATCTAAAGTCATTTGGTTCAGATGATCAATAATAAATGCCTTAATTAGTTGAGGTATGTTCAGGTTGGTCGGACGAAGAATAATTTAAAGGGTAAGATGTAGATGAGACGGAGACAACAAAATTAGTATTTTCCATATCTCTCCACGTGATGACCCGACCCCAACAACACCTTTATGCAACTTTATTATACTATTATATTCAAGTTGCCCTTAAAATAAATAACCTTAGGATAGGCCAATGAGTTCATCATATATAACATTGTCAATTGAATCACTTTCGTCACTCAAATTTGGTCGATAAGAAAAGGAGATAACATGAGCTATATGAAGATGACTACAACGTATAATTATATTTTTATAAAGTCCTAATATCTAATTCAAATTATATGACTCTCCTTTAACATTTAATAATAATATCATTGTTCACACTAAATTAATTAAAATTAAGAGCATATGCTATAATCAAGTCCTAACTAATATTCCACAAAATTGCATTTGACACACCCTAGACATAAATCCCAACCACCCTAGGAAAAAAAAGATTTAAGAAATATTATTCTAACTACTTTGATATCCATATATCAATCAATCAATTAATGTTCTTCTTGTCTTATGTATCTAAAGTTTAATATGAAGTGTATCAATTAATGTTCCTATGCTACTGTCTTTAAAAGGTAGGGGTGTAGGGGTAATTTCACCTTTATTATTTTAAATGTTAGTTTTCTTTTTACTTAATATATATGTTATATTTACAATTTAAAATTCGATAGAATGATGCAATCAACTAGCGTCTAAAAAGCCAAAGCAAGCATATTATTTTAAATATAATTTTGTTTTCTTAATTTGATTTTTGAGATTTTTTAGTCTTTCAAATTTTAATAAATTAATATTATATATAGATGTATAGATATTAAAACTTAAAAGATAATGAAACAATTGTCAACTGAACATAGATTAGCGGTAATATCTCCAAAAAAATTAAAAGACACAATTAGATGGAGTTGAAAATACTGTAGATGAGCAGAATATGGGCCCTGAATGGGCCGTCCAGGCGGACTAGGAGATCCGGCAAGAAAACAAATCCGGATATTTCCCACGTGTGGGTGGGGTCCACTAAATGGATAAATGGCAGTCAACAGTCAAAAGTCAACATTTCTTCTTCATGTGGACGCACGTGTCCATAACCATTATATTTTCAAATCCCAATCAATTGCCACTTCAAAAAGTAAAAAATAAAAAATCTTAAATCCCAATTTTCCAGTGCTAGCTACAAGCCAACTCATTTCTTAGCATTATCATTTAAAATAAAATTAAAAAAAGAAAAAAAGATTTCATTGCAATGACAGTACATGAATTATTTTTATTATTGAAAAAAAGTGGTGATATTGAAATTACTATTTATTTTTTATTTTTTATTTTTCATGAATGGTCATTATCAATTCAAATGCAAGCGCACCATATTGGGCCGTCACCTTCCTGCACTAAATAAAGAGTAATTCACGTGAAATTTGGGCCCTTCTACAGATAGTGGCCCATCGCAGATTTTATATTCAAAATTAGGTTTTGAAAAACAATCAAGACTTTTTTAAAATTTACCCAATCATTTCTCCCCCATTCAAATTTAT